GCAACTGTCAGGGCTTTCAAAAAAAACAAAACACGAATAGAAAGTGGAATTGGAAAAAAAAGTAAGCGGAAAGAAACAAGGAAAATGAAAGAAAGGACAGATTGAAGGAAGAAGGAAGGAAAACAAAGGAAAGGGAAAATGAATGAAAGAGAGAAGGAAAGAATGAAAGACAGAAGGAAAAAGAAAGACAGGAAGAAGGAAGGAAAGTGAAGGGAAGAAAGGATTGAAAGAAGGAAGGAATGATTGAAGAGTTGAAAGTGAAGGATTGAAGGAAGGTTAGAGCCAGGAATGGAACAAAGAAAAAAGGAGGAAAGCAAAACATTGGAAGAAATGTATGAGAGATGGGAAGGAATGAAAAAAAAACAAGAAAGGATGGGAGTAAAAAGGAAAGATGACTGGAAGGAAGATGAAAGAAAACTTGCAAAGAAAGGAGGGAAGATGAATGAAAATGAAAGGAAGGAGGGAAACTAGACAATAGAACAGAAGAAAGAGAGGAATGAAAGAAGGAAGAAAAGGTAGGAAGGTGATTCTTATAGGAGATGTTTTTTCCTCATGTGGTGCGAGGGAGAATGTAATTACGTAACTGCAGAGAGCTCCAGGAATTTAGGAGTCAGGAATTAATAGGGGAGCTTCATTTGTGCAAATGCATTTTTACAAAACACTGCATACAAATGTTGAGAAAATCCTTAATTTGTTTTGTACTTTTGTCAAAACGTCAACCATCTTTTACTTCAAACTCCACCTTAAACATCAGCTTTTACAGACGCCGTGTCAGTTGTGTCGTCGATGTGCTTGGCAGTAATAACGTCTCCTGCGGCACAAGGCGGTGTCGCTGACACGAAAGGTAATTACTGCCCACTAGTGGCATCGCGGTGCTGCGTTTATTCAGTCACGACCTGATTCCTTTGCTTCAGCTGCCTGTGAGAAGGAAATAGATAATCGCGCGATGACATGGGCATACTTACGGGTACATGGCCATAGTGCTGAGTTTGGTGTAGATGTCTCTACTAGGCGGCCCCGCTGTGTTACAAGTGAACGATTGCGGAGGAGGCATTTTGTGCCTCCGACAGAACTCCAGAGGACTGCAGCCGTAGAACTGTTTCGTCTCGGGCAGGTCCGACTTGGCCGCTATCATCATGCACGGGATCTTGCAGTCCATGAAGTATTGCTGTGAAAGCAAGGGTGACATGCCTGTTTAGATGCTATTCAATTCAGGGATTTTCTGTTCTTTTTTTAAAAGAGCCGTTAGCATGGGAATTGTACCTTGAAGACTTTAGCGCAATAATCGAAGGAGTACGGGTTGCTGATGTCATACACCAAGCAGACGATGTCACAGGTCAGGTCGGCGTCAGACAGGTAGTCCAAGTCAGGGAACACTTCATGAAGCTGAGAAGAACAAAAAAATAAAATAAAATACTGACTTTGGTCTTATTTGTCTACAGCAGGGGTGGGCAAAAGATTGCACGGGGACCAAATATTGCTCGATTCATTCTTTTAAAAGCACAGCAACACAGATGAGATTTAGCTTTAGCAATGAAGCTAGCAAAGGGAAAGGCTAAGCTATATGGTTGGTTTAGTTTAAACTTTGAATAGGAGTGGCAATAAACAGCTTGAATCCGCTTTTTGTGATGAATTCTTCACTATTTGAGAAAGGGCTGCTTGATATGAAGTGAGATGAGTTCACACCATACAGTGATTGTATCTCAAGTCTGAGCTCACAAGTTAAAAAATAAATAAAATGGCCTAACAACAGTGTTTAGGCCAAAAAAAAAAAAACTCCTAAGCGGAGTCACTCGTCTCAGAAGGCAACACTGTATCTATTATCAACAAATAACTTTGCCCGTCTGTCCATTTAAAAATAAAATGCGGCTCTTGATCACAAATTTCGTCCACCTACGGTCACAGGTTGTAGGTAAAAGCCGTTGCCACCTTTACGGAAATGGAAAATATGAAGACAGACATCAATCTTAGCGAGACACTTACAAGAAGGTATTTCTCCTGACCATAAACGAAGGTCGTGCTGATGGCGTAGTAGGATTTATGTTCTTCTTTGATCATTTGCTGGTGCTGAAAATAAATAAATAAATAAATAAAATCATATAAAGTTTGGGAAGTGGAGCCACAGTGACAAATAGCTTATTGACTTATTTTTCAGGGCTGACACATTTTGTGGTTTACCATCAGGTTTCTCCCCAAAAGGGCTTGGAGGAAGCCGCTCTTCCCACTGCCGACATCTCCGAAGATATTGCAGCGGAAGACGCCACGCTGTGTCTGCTTTTTCTGCAAGTCAATCTTCTTATCCCTGGTCACTGGGGGACGAGGGGGGGGATGTCACGTACACATCACAGGATTAGTTAGGACGTGTCCTATGCACGTCACATGTCCGCAAGTCTCAACAAAGCACAGCAGTCTGTCTGCGTGTGTGTGTGTGTGTGTGTTATCCCTGGTCACTGGGGGACGAGGGGGGGGATGTCACGTACACATCACAGGATTAGTTAGGACGTGTCCTATGCACGTCACATGTCCGCAAGTCTCAACAAACCACAGCAGTCTGTCTGCGTGCGTGTGTGTGCGCGTGTGTGTGTGTGTGTGTGTGTGTGTGTAGAAAAAGCTGTGTTTCTGGTTTACCTGTTATCCCTGCTGTTTGGGACTCCTGCTCAGCTATGATTGAATAGCCAAGGTAGCCCAGATACTCCAGGCAACGCTGGACATCCAGATAAGTTGTTAAACTGAAAATAATAACAATAATAAGGGTAAACTAACAATTACAGGAATGTAAAGTTCTTTAAAAAGCATTATAAAAACTTAATATAAATGACTAATTGTGTGACTTGTGTGAAAAAAAGAACAAATGCAGAAACAATCGGTAAGTTGATTTTTTAAAAGTATATAAAACAATTTAATTAAATCTGGAAAAATAATAAAGTGTGTTAAATACTCAGAGTATTTGAAATAAAATGCAAAGAAATAAAACTACTTAGCATAGGTAATACATACAGCAACAAAATTAAGTCGATTTTTTTTTTTTATTTTAACAGATTAAGAAAATTACACAAGACAAATACAAATAATTGTCTTCATTACTATGCCATTTTTATGACAAATGAAAAAAAAAAAAAAACCACAAATTATTTTTAGTACAAATAAGATCAGTGGTGAGCAAACTTTGATTCCAAAATGGACAGATGGGCCAAGCCATTCGTAAATGAGTTAAAAGTTTGAAAAGATAATTCATTCTCATTTTGACTTTATTTTTAATTCATCGAATTTGAATTTGTGAACCAATACGTTAATAAAACAAACAAAAACAAACAAATGTTGAGCATATACAGTATATGTAATATTTTAACTAATATTTTACTATGTGCAATAAATTACCCCAAAAGCAATTAATTAATATATTTATTTATTCACACACACCCTCAAAAAAAAAATTGGGGGGTGTTAAATTAATGCAACAAATACTGCAGGACTCTTGATAATGCAAAATGATCATTGGGCCTGTTTATAGACTGGAGCCTGTGTGCCACTCCTGCGTTAGAAAAAAAGAGACCACTCACGTCCACTGTGAGAGATAACCCTGGTAGGTGATCCAGCCCTGCTCGTTGGTGCACACTGTATTGTTGACATCAGGACCCCAGGGCATGTAGGGAAAAACATCAAACAGGTCCCTCAGCTCCTCTGGCGACAAGGCACAGTCACGGTCCTGACAGAACACAGAGCACAGCACATGATTCATTTTCACTGTCGCGCTTGCCCTTTGGAGTTCACCGCCAATTCTCCTGTCAACAAGTGAACTCGAGCCTTAGCAGGGGGTCAGGACTGGCAGGTATCAGTAAGAAGGGGGGGGGCGATTGGGTTACGTACAGTAATGCAGACTGAGCAGCTTTAAAGAGTTGAAAGAACATGCAGCCAGACGTCAAGGATTATACCTTGTCATGTTTGTCGAAGACACTCTGCAAGAAGAGGTAGGCTGTGTGGTTGAGCTCTGTGGTGCAGTCGGCGGGGACTTTCAGCCTGTAACGTCACCATGAAAAACTACCGTCAGAGAACAGAGCATCTTTGAGGAAAAAAAGGGGAAACACACAGACGGAGGGAATGGCTAAAGTCCCAACGCACGAACAGTAGTCCCCGTTTATGATGATTATGTCAGCGTGAAGAAGACATACGGAGGGAAGAGGTAGTCCTGATTGAGCTCCAGGTCGTCGTCATATCCGAACCTCCTCAGGACCGTCCACGTTGTTTCGTGTCGACCTCGCTGGATGAACAGCGTGTGGAGGAACAGGAAGCCTGGAGAGGGAAGACGAAGAAGCGACACGGTTAAAGACTAAAGTCGGGTCTAACGCGCGAGTGTGTGTTTTAAGAGTGCCAACCTTTGAGAGTGAGTCCATTGTCGCACACCCCATCTCTCAAATTTTTCTTCACGACATTTTTCACATCCTCCAACGCCTGCGGCTCCAGTGGCATGTTGAAACATGTCCTCTAGGGGGTACCAAAATAACATTAGTTAATCCGCATTGTTGAGTCAGTCGATTCTCAACAATATCAGCAAACAGGGAAATTACCTGAAAGAAGTTGAGCTCACTATCATTGAGAATACCATCGTTGTCCAAGTCGGACACTTTGAAGATTCGCGTCAGCGCCTTGACGCAAAGTGGCTTCATCTAGGACCAAAACACGACCATGTGATGCATTTGCATTTAGAGTCAACCCCACGGAGCAGGGGTGGGCACATTTTTGTACTCAAAAGCCACAATTGATTTTTTTTTAACACATCATTTGTCGATGAGATCAAACAAATGAAATAAAAATAAAATAATTTCATGAAATGTATAATTATGTCATATACAATTAATTAGCTGGATAACTAAATAAAATATGGATAAGAAATGAATATTTTAATTTGCAAGTTTTAGGACAGAGCAGCTCAATGACAAACACAAATATTGCAGGGCTCTTGATAATAAATGCCCAACCGCTTCATCGAGAAATAAATTTGGGTCGAAACCACATCGCACCAACTTGCTGAAAATGTGCATTGTTATTGTACTTGTACTGCAGTGAAGTTGCTAAATTAAATTGTCAGTGTCACAGGGTCAGAAATGTGCTACAATGAGATCAAGTCTTGTCATAAGATGCATACTGTAGTAATTCTGGCTCATTATGACGGCGACACTTACATCTTTTTTCTCTGGACAGTAGAGGGGGCCAGTGGGATGAAGGACAGCCTTTTGGGCATAGTAGAACAGCTCGGAGATGTTCTTCAGATTTTTTGCTGAGCACTAGAGGTACAAAAACAAGAACGGTATAACGGGGGTGGCTACTACTGTGTGGCACGTGAGTTTGTAGGACATAAGCCTTGAAGCAGGGTGGAATTACACTTGACTTGGCATGAGGGAGAATTCTAAGTGACAGTGCAATGGAAACATTCTCTCGCCCAGTGTGTGTGTGCGTCCACGTGTGTGCGTTTGGCATGGCCAGACAGGGTATTAAAACACAGGATCCGTCTGAGCACCATGCCTGCTCTGATTATCCCGTCTGCAAAAAAGACAGGCGATGACCTGAACGCAGGAAGTCTTTAATTACCATTTGCATGCTATTTAACAAAGAAAAAAAAATACAGGAAGAATAGCATTAGCTTAGGAAATGAATACGTGGCTTTCGAGGACGGGGAAGTCCTTTGAGGTCCAAAAAGCATCACAGTGAACCGCCACTGTTCATGCGGAAAGCGATTGAACGCAACAGTGAACGGCAAATGTCTACAAATAACTCCCCTAAAAGAGATGCCTGCGTTAGAGTTTCTGCCACAAACTACGATTGCATAAAATTTTATTGAGGCAAAACTATTGAGATCCAAAGCACACACAGCAGACATGGCCCGTGCCATCTTGCTCTCCTCTCCCGCTGATTGGGAATCCTAAATCTTGCATGGCTGCTGTTGGATTTGTAATTGGATAAGTAAGTCGCGAGCCCGAGGAGCCAGCCGAACTACTGAGAGGGACTACTTGTATACGACAGGCGGAAGGTAGAAGTTTAAGCAGACGACGAGTATGACATTTTTTTGGCGTGGTTTACTGACAGTAATAAAAATAATAACAATAAAAACAAAAAAACCTATTTTCTGACTTTGAATTGGACAATGCCAAACTGTAAAAGTGTGAGGGGCTGACGGCACTTCATTCTATTGAATGTGTCTCTTAGGTCAGAGTGAGTGCATTAAGTCGAGAACATTAATCCACTTGCGCTGCCTTATTGGTGAAAAAGGTTTCCCCCTACCTCGACGCAGGTCTCGATCTCGCTGTACTGGTTCATAATGGGCAGGATGGTCTCCATGCTACTGTGCTCCACTAGGTCAGACTTGTTTCCCACCAGGATGAGAGGAACCCTGGATACACAGGAACATATATGAGGGACAAAAATAGTATTTTAAAGAGCACATATTACAGAAAGTAGACTTTTTAGGGTCTTATGTATAAACAGTTGGGTCTCTGGAATGCCTCCCCACCCATCATGTGTAAAGTTAAACAACCAAGTAAATCTTTTCGTGATGTGCCAAATTCTCAAAACGTGTGTGAGTGAGCTGTTCAACAACTGCCCCCGCTGTTACATAACAGTGGGGCTCATTTATACACGTAGCGTACAGTCGTGTATGACGTGCTGCCTCCATGAGTGAAAATGCTTTTGTCTATATGTGAGTTCTCCCTCCTCCACAGACACCTACTGCAACTAGTAGCCACTCTAGTCGCAAGACTCATGCTCCACCCATGGTCACTATGGTAACAAAGGGTCATTTGAATAAAAATGAATGTTTACATTTCACTTTATTTGCAGTGGTGAAGAACTGGACAGAATCATCATGAGAGCTTTTACCAAATACTGTACAATACTTTCAGCTTCATGTGCAAAGCAAAGTATTTGAAAAAACTCTCGATATAATGCAGTGCAGTTTTAAAACGTAGACAATATACACATACCTGCTGTCCTTGTCTGTGTTGTCAAGAATGAGGGGGATCCAGTAGCTGGTCACCTAAAGAAGAGAATTAAAAAAAAGGTACCGTGATCAATGACATTTCCAAATTATTAGCATCAATTCATTTTCTGTAGCGCTCGTCCTTAGTAGAGTCGCAGGTGGGTTGGAGCATATCATATTTCTCACATCTCTTCCTGGTGAGCCGATGCACAGACAGACAAGCTGCCAGAAGCCAGCTAGTCGCACCATGGTCATTATTGTTATTCTTACTCGGTGCAAGACTCACCTTCTCTATCGACGTCTTATTGTTGACGGAGTACACAATGCAAATCACATTTGCCTACGGGAAATGAAGACAGCGGGGCCAGTAAGTGTCAGTTGAAGCCAGCACTTAACATGGGACGTACAAAATAACAATCTTGAGACTGACCTTTGAGATCTCTTGGAACAACTGCTCATCTGTCTGCTCAGCATCTGCGCAGGGAAGACAAATGATCTGATGAACGATCACACATCGAACCACAACGTAGAAACATATATGAAAGTAGAAAACAGCGTGGTTGCTCGGAACAATAGAGTACAGTGACTGTCATGCAATATTCATGAAATGTGTACATTCATTTCAGAAGCAGATTCTAGATTCTAATGTCTAGTAGATGGATAGCATGCAGCTGAATGACTTACTAGTTTACTTTCCAACTTACTTCATTCCAGGCTTCAAATAGTGAATTGTTGTTACTTTCTCTTTGTTTTTTTCTTTTTACAGTTAGTAATGTTCAAATGCTAGTTAAAACGTTGCCTGTGTATTTTATGAAGGACCTGAAAAGTCGACAATGTGTGTGGGGACTCTCTCTGGAGTGACATCTGCAGGAATGGTTATCTCCTCAGCTCGGTAAGGAACCTGACAGAAAACATTCATGTCACTTCACTACTGATCTCTTCCCAACAGACCGCGGGTACTTTCTGTGAAGTGTAAGGATAGTTAGGCATCCTTACCACAGTTGGGAACTCCTCGCTGACCAGGGACATGATGAGAGATGTCTTTCCCACCTTGGCTGTGAATCAAACAACACAAGTTAGAATTTGGAAGTTAATGCACCAAACTACACCATGTTTTAAGTAGCATACAGTTCGATGCAAACTCCACACAGGGGCTAAGATTTAGTTTGAACCTAAAACCATGACCCCTAAGCATTTTAGTGGGGTGGCTAAAAACAAAATTCATAACGAAGACACTTTGGGATTTAATTGACTTTTGTCACTGTCCAACAACATGAACGTTAGTCCAAATGTAATAAGCTTTTGAATTGCCCTTTTTTAAAAATAAATTAGCAACACAAAAAAATAAACATTCTTTTGTATGACCTACAAGAGAATCCAGTACAAGCTTTTTATTGATCAGGAATAACAAGCATGCAGTCTTCATGGTTTGTAAAGAAACTTAAAAAAAAAAACACAGAATAATAAATTGAAACTACCAGCATACGAGACCATTATGATGCTTTTGGTTGTATATAAAAAAAACAACATTCTGTGCACACTTTTGTGGGCATAATTTTCCATGGTCTTTCAAAGACCAATCAATCTATAACCCATTTTTTTCTGTCGGGGGGCCAACACTTTCACTTGCGAATGAAACAAGTCCTGCGTTTTAAGCGTAGTACAGCAAAATCTATTCGTCATCATGAATGCACGGAAGGGGTCATGTGTTATCACACTTTGCAAAGTATAACATCATCAAGTCGTGTTAAAATGGGTGTGATCATGCCCTCAAGGATACTAATAACGTCTTGTATAAATTGAGGTTACTGCAACAATGAATGGGATTGCACATATTGTGGGAAATGAATGGCACCCAGTTAGTACACAGCAATGAAGATGGACATCACGCAGCAGTGAAATGACTGAGTCCCAAGGTACACTCACGTTCGCCAACCAGTAAGATCCTGACGTCCTTCCGCATCGTCCCCAGTGTGTCGTTCACCTACGCCACGGCCGTACAATGTGTCACACATTTATGCTCCCGTGGGCAAAGAGGACACTGACACCCCGGCTAGCAAGACAGCTAGCTAGCCGCTACGTTGGCATGTCACGGCGTTGACATTTCGATGCTCAACATGAGAAATGGTTCAACCAAATTATTCCAAACATAAGCTGTTTATGCTGATAAGTGAGTCGTAAGCCACGAGGTGACGAGAGGCCTCGGTGAAAGTGCATGCAGGGAGATGACTTGGTTAATCTACTCTAACTGCATTAGCAGGCGGTAGCTAGGCTCTTTGACCACGCCCCTCCAAGTCAGCTGACCGAGAAGCGAGATTGTCGATTTAATTAAATTAAGCTTTTCTTTTTCTTTCTTTCGGCTCCGTATTTTTCAACCAAATTTGTTTTTTAAATCAGTAAACTAGTGGCTGGATCTGACTCTTAATTAGATCCTAAACCCTAACTATTAAAGAAAATTGATTTATGTCCAAACAATGATATTGTGACAGCTGGAAAGTGTGTTCTTACAAAAACAGGGCAGGAGGTAATACTCAAATGTTCTTTATTGGAGCCATCAACACAACATTTAAATGACACGGGTGTCAGTACTTTTAACAAACCTTTCACCAATGCTGCAGTACAACCCTAACACATTACCAAAATCACACATGTACAACTATTTACATTGTGGGAAGAGTCCATGCAAACCATTAGTCAGACCCACGCAACCCTGAAATAATAACACCTCCCTCATCTTACCTAGATATTCATGCATCCAACTTAGTAGTGAGGCTTTTATGAGCCAGATATCTCCCAATACATTTGTCCATAGTATAAAAATGATCGTGTGCATTGGTGTCAGAACTTTTTCAGGTCATTTGCACCTTCTCATGTTGGCTTCATCTACAAAGACAAACAACAGACTTACAGTACACATATTTGGCATTGAAATATGAACTGGTGTCTTGACTGAGACAATAACAAGCCTGTAAACATAGATTTGCATGAGGATAAAGTCCTTCCTTTCATGGGTGGATGGATATTCACATTACATTTGTCTTACTTGCATAGTCTTCTGGCGTCATTGGCTGACCGATGACCTTCCCGAAGGCCTCCAGCCACTCCTGCTGTTCCAGTTCCTGCTCGCACATGAACACAAACTCCCTCTCTGGCGAGTGTAGAGTGATGGCACAGTGCCAGCGGCCCCCTCTGGAGTGGCGCCTGCTGCCCTCCAACACCAAGTAACCGTGACTTTCTGTGCCGATGAAGACGGCCCCGAGCTCTGTAGCATCCTAACATGGGACAAGACAGCACAGGATTACACTTCACATGATTTATTCAACAGCAGATGGAAGTTTATTCGAGGGGATGCCTTTTTTGGGGAATTTTATAACATGGTCTCATCATGTTGAGATTTTTGTCAACTGTTTTTCATGATGGGAACGGGATATGTTGTGCTTTGGTGTTGCTGTTTTGGTTAGCAACAGAGTTTAAATTGTCTCAGCAGTCCTGCTAACATTCAAGCATTACTGAATACAGTATATGAACAGTATGAAGAGAATATGCATGGTTTTGTTTTCCAAACAGGAAAATTAATAAGAACGCATTTATTTGCCTGTATAGTGGATGATGCACACAGCAACTTATCGGGTCATGACATCTATTAAAAGGATGGTCCATATTTGAGGAAATATGGTCTTTTAATCATTCTTAGTCAGCGTCTGTAATCAGATCGCTTGTATCCTGGATGGGGACATGCATGGCACTTTATAGTGTAAGTTGAAATGTAGTGAACGTGTTTTAAAATAATGTTTTTCTTTTATTTAAAAACATGACAGATTTTTTTTGGGGGGTGGGGATGAGGGCGGGGGGGCATTACCAGTGGGGATTTATAATAGAGAAGCTTCCTGTTCAATGCACATAGAGTGAACCATCTCTTTTTGAATGGCTCCCACTGCTGCAAAACAAACAGAATATAGCACGTTAAAAGACAACAAATAGAAATGTGGACATTTTTGACGCATCATTTTTGGTCGGCGACGCACCGTCGGGCCAGTTTTCTCCATGTATCCCTCCTTAAGGCAGTGTCTTGTTAACTGAGGTACTAACTTTGCAGATAAACCCACGATAAGCGCACGTTAAAGTTGTTCATAATTCTGATATAAATGTGCTACGTTGATCACAATCACTACATTGATCCCACCTCACTTTGTCGTAGCGTGGGATGCTTCTTCTGGAGGTAAGCCAAGCGTGTTGCTCGAATAGCATTGAAAAAGGAAACAATGACCTGTAGAAGTGTGAGTACAACACAAGGTATTAAAAAGGGAATCCTATTTAAAATTGTTAAGATTCAATTTTAACCTCAGTACCGGTCCAGAGACCCACCACTGGCAAATCATTAATTGCCAATAATAAGTTTAAAAAATAATGAAAGGTAATTTAAAGTGTTTTATTTCAGAATGTAGCCCTTCGCATTCATGAGTCGTAGTACTTTGTAGTTGTGGCTCTCACTTTCAGAAAGGTTGGTGACTTCTAGACCAACTGGGAGAATACCGTGCTTGAGCAATTTGTGCCTCACCTGTCCATTCTCGTGGTAAACAAAGATATTCCTGGTCCGTACCTCCTGCAAGTAGGAGATTTGCAGGCCGTGAGCGTGTCCGATCTTCTCGGGCTGGAAAACCGCATTCAGCTCCTTCATGCTGATCACAGTTTTGGGAACTCTGGACTTGGTTTGAACAACAGTAGCAATGATCGAACTAGAAGTTACACCAATATCTAAAACTGAACTGTACAAAAAAATACGGCATACAAAAATAGAAGTCCCGCTGTATTGCAAAAAAAAAAAGAAAAAAAAGAAATGCTAACATTATTTAATATTATTACAAAAATTAATTTGCACAATGAAACTCAATGCCCTTGGCCGAATTCCAAATTCTCCCAAATTCTATTGAGAGCAATCTCAGGACCCACATTCTGTTTTGTGAAGTATCTGAGAGTGAAGTCTTTGTGGGACAGCAGGAAGATCCTTTTTAAAAAGTGCCTGTTGTTTTTGCCCTTCTTCCACAGCGTTGCCTCAATGGTGTCTAACACATCAAGCACACAAAACAAATTAATGGACATGCATCCCCAAAAAAATAAATAAATAAGTTGTAATACCTGCACCATACGACTGTTGAAAGTAGCCTTTCTCTCCAATGAACTCTCTCCTTTCATACTTGGCACGAATCCACTGATCTTTAAGAACCCTGGCGGTTATAAATCACCAGACTGCTTTAATAGCTGCTCCCTGTGTGTTTGTTCCCGTTTTAACGTTTGCAAAGGAGATTCCAAAAGCATATCGGCGAGCCTTCACTTTCAATTCCACTGAGCTATTTAATAAACTGCACTGATGACAAGTCATCACATACACACAGTCTCTCTGCTCCGGCCGGTAGATGAACGCAGGAACACACTTCTCGTAGGTGGCTTTGGCTGCCAAGTTTCCCCGCTGACTCATGGCCTGCGGTGACAAAAAAAAAGTGACATTGAACGCACGCATTGTACAGGTTGCTAATTTTCTTAGAGTTCATGGAAAAAGTGGTATTATCTTGAGTACATGCTCACGATGTCACAAGTTTTGAAGACGATAAGAAGGGTTAAAAAAAAGAGAAGACTATTTGAGAAACGGTATTGATGAGAGCAAAGACATTTATTTAAAGACGTGTATTTAAATAAGGCTATGTGAGCCTAAAAGAAAAACAAAGTTATACCTCCACAAGAGAGTCCTGCCAATGGTCGAGACGTATGGACTTGACTTTGCTGATAGAAGGCAAGTTCCGATGCATTCCAGAGCAGTTGACACACAAAAACACACACAGCGTGTAGGAAGCCCAATCAGGCTCTGCAGGGCAAGCACGCAAACAATGTTGATACGGGAACTAAACATAGACGGGGTGAGCTGATCATACAAGAACATGAAATACAAGCCCATATGACAACTAACACCTATTCCCACAAAGATACACACATTGTACATCATTTACCCTGACAGTGATGACAGTAAGGTTGAGGAACACTGGGGACACAGCCACCATTTCCTGTTCTGATCCTATAAAATGTGACCAAAGTGTGGCTTTAAATTACAATGAACACAATGTGCCTGTTCTTGCAGCTCATTTCGAACAGTGTGTAAAAGCTTCAGATTATTTGTTTTAGCAATGTTAGAATGACCAGAAATACTTATTCAGAATATGCTTGATTCCTTCTTTCCACAGAATACAACCAGAAAAACTAGAAGTATTAAGTGCGACCTGATTCGATGTTGCCGGGCAGAAACCCAAATTCGGTGAATTTAATATTTTTTCACATATCGATACCACTAGTCAGAATCCGCGTGGGGTTGGCTATTTTTCAAATTATTGACCTATCTAAACAGTTGAAAATACTTTGCTCTCTTTGACGATGCAATGTTAATGTCTCAAAAAAACAAACCTTTTTTTCTAGCACATGTGATCGGTTTGCAGATGCGAGGATTCGGCACAGTGAAATTAACTCTTATCCGTTAAAAGAAAAAAAAAACACAAAAGAAGTAAACGCAAAGAAGACATCAAGCATATGATCCGCGCTACCATACAAATCTAAACTCAAGACATTGTTCTAAAAAAAAAGCAGGATGATGCAATTGGTGTTTCAAGGTTCTGGGTTCGAATCTTAACTCTGGCTCCCCAATGTAGGGTTTGGGTGGGTTTCCTTCGTGTCGTCTTCCTCCCACATTAAAAAACAAACAACCCCCCCCTCCCCCGATATGTGTAAGACTAAACTGTCCATAGATGTTAATGTGAGAGTGAATGGTTGTCTCGATGTGCCCTGTGATTGGCTGTTGACTAGCTATGACTGGCCCAAGCTTACCTTTGACCGTAATGAAGGCAAGTACTGTACTATCAAAAATGGCTAAAAGCTCTGTATGTGACAGTTAAGGCACTTTTATAAACAGGAGTCTAGTTTTAGTAGCCTGAGTGGTGTTTTTTTTTTTTTCAGGAGTCCAGTTTTAGTAGCCTGAGTAGTGTTTTTTTCTTTTTTTTTTAACTGATGATGGCAAGAATATTAATGACAGTTGTGTGGATGCTGCATCATATCTTTTTTTTTCCCCACAACTTTAGCTAGGCTATTGACGAGGCATTTGTAAAGAGTGAAATGGCCCCTGATAAGATAACGCTTCCCCACCACTGAATTATAGAAATCAAAACTTACCAGGAGCACCACAGTCAGCACACGTATTGTTCCAAGGCTGTCTCATCAAATCAAGCAAGATTTTGTTGTTTCTCTCTAGGTTGGCCATAGGTAAAGGCTCTGCTGGCTCTTGTCAAATGGAGTCGCATACTATATGCACAGACAAAACACACACCGGGCAGGTGAAATAATATATTTTCCTTTCAGTGCACTGTGGTGGCCAAGTGTTTCCTCTTTGCCGCTCAGCATCATGACGTTTATTGTTCTGCACACAAACAGCGAGGTCTGGAAAAAACAGAGAAAGGAAGTGAGAGCGGTTACCATGCTCTACAGAAACGGGATCAGGTTTCCAAGGTTTTACTGTAAATGGTAGATTATGTACATGTAGTTGCAGTTTTATGTCGGAATTTTGCCTTGGAATGATATTGAATCTAATCTCAAATTTAAACAAAATGACATGTTTACATTGTTTAAAGTGGTCTAAAAAGCAGTGTGCTGTCATGAGGGATGGCACTACACCGCCCCCCCCAAAAAAAGAGGGGGGGGGGATCAAAGGTTATTTTAAGCCTGAGTGTCTGAGCCCCACTTAATTATTTCATGACGTTACAAATGAATGTATAATCGGCATAATGAAAATGACAAGCAAAAAAAAACTATAAGCTTTCATCTTGGATAAAGGGTTGAGTTATAGCAATAAAGTGTCCATCCATGCATTATCCGAAACATTTATCCTCACTTGGGTCACGGGTATGTGGTTTTTAATGACGAAAACAACCGTTAGAGGGCAGTGTGGCGGAAAAAGACATCTCCGGAACTTTACATGATGCTGTTGTTTAAACCGGACATTTTAACGCAACGGACAACAACGAAATATTTATCCGATGTCACAATTGAAAAGCGATTAATACGATAAGAAAGATTTATTGGTGAACATGTGGGTCGCCAGGCGAGTTTTGTCGTCTGTTGCCCATAGTCGTAAGTACCGTTCCATTTCGTTATTTGATTGCAATGCGTGGATATTTTGCTGGTTTATACACAAAAGTGGCTTGCGTGTAAAAACTTTTGAAACCCTTACATTTGCTCACTATCTTCTAAAATGATCCAACGTAAAATGAAAAACCTGATCTTGTAAATAAATAGCAGAGGCGGTAAAAGTACTCGCTGTCTGGATCAGGAGTTCATGCCATCAAAACAACGTGTTCCGTTGTGAACGAGAAAAAAAAAATTGACAAGTGAAAAAAAGTACACCATACCAGTATGTTTTTTTTTTCTTTTTCAATGCCAAAAGCTGTTGGTTTTTAGGCTGGCACGAGACATCGTATTGAAATCATTCTTAGCACCTATGAGGAATATCTTGCTTCTCCTGCTCTGTTGTGGCATCATTCATGCTCCCTAGTTCACCATCCTCAATGTCCCTTCAGTTCCCTTCTCCATTGTGGGACAAATAAAGGTTTTCTTTTCTTAATTTACATCATATCGTCATCCACAGAGGTTGAACAAAAATGATTTGAACATAGTAAGGATTACAAAGTACATATAACAGTTTTTAAACTTTGGGAGCTAGAAAAAAGTTGTTGTATAAATAGATCAAAGTCAAACAAACACCTGAAAAATCTATTTTAGTATTTGTACTTACCAACATTGATATGAATAAATAATTTGTGTCCCCTGTGTAGGTCAGTATGCTGGTGACTCCAGCTTGTTCCGCCGCCCTCGACCAGGTTCGTCCTCTGATATGGAGCTGCGTTACCTCCAGTGCACATGCTGCTGGAGGAGCAGAATCCCAGTGGCGGGAATCGAGAGCCTCAACACCACCATCTCTACCCCCTGTGAAGAGGAGGACAACAACGATGAGCACACCGCTCCTCTTGATGCCTGCTACACCTCCGAGCAGCGTGACGCCATCTTGATGCTGCTCAACAACGCCTCGCTCACTGAGCTGGCGGGCGTCAAGCTCCTCCGAGGGCGTAAATCTGTCAACATAGTGGACTACCGGAGCAAACACGGACCCTTTAAGACACTGGAGAGTGTGGTTAACGTGCCGCTACTAAAGCACAAGAGCGCCGTCGTGGTGTTCGAGTCCATCCTCAACCCGGTGAAGAAGAAGAAGGTGCGCATTCAGCTGGCCAAGTTTATCAGGCCTGAGGTGGACAGGTCCTGGCTGGAGGTAAGCACATATTTGTCACTTTACAGGTGTGTTCAACTCATTTTTGCCATGGCCACAATATAGTCCTGGTTCCCCCATGACGACTGTGAAACCAACCCAAAGGTTGACATGGCCTATTTAAAAAAAAAAAAAAAGATATAGGCGTTTTTCTCTCGTTTGTGTGACATGAAATCAGGTGATGTTTTTCCTGTTAAAGGCAAATTAGAAAGTAGTCCTGTTTGCTAAATGCCCCAGATATGTAGAATTTCATTACTTTCTTCAAAGTATGATGTGTAAACTATGATTTTAAACAAGTTGGGAAAATCCAGATTATATTACCATGTCTTTGTAAGAGTCTGTTGTTCATTGACAACATTGAAGTAATTCTCGAGACACCTACCGATATGCGGCTGTAAAGGCACACCTAAAACACTCCGCTTCTTGAGGTAACATCACATTTCATTTTATAATGTAAAATTTTTGCCTTGGCACAATAAAGGTTTGCAAAGCTAATCAGTCAGTCTACAGAAATCTACTTTCTGCTGAAGATGAAATTCTGAGTTTTGACAAATGGGTCTCTAAACAATTAACCAGTTATCAAAAATAATTCTTGATTACCAGTAATTTGAAAACTGATTAGTCATCCATTTATCATTATCACATATATACAGTAAATACAATTGATTTACACTACTCAGAAAAAAGTAAGGGATATTTTCTTATATATTTTCTTTGCCTTTCTGTGACTCTTCCAGTCTCTCATTTGCAACCTCTTCATAACACCCTAAGCTTAATACCGCAAGCCACTTCTGACAACATAGTGTTTGAAGCCTTGCAAGGGCAAAATGTTATTGATCCATTTTTTTGGGCGTCCTCTTTGTCTCAAGATCTTATTGTTTAATCCAGGATGCCAATTCCATCGTTTCACTCGTGTGCGCCACTAATCGAATAGCGTGGGCACACATGGGCCGAGGGATGACCGTCATGGAGTGGCAGTATCTCGATTGTCCAAACTTCCTGAAGGGCACCTACATGGCGTCAGCTTACTTACACGATGTGAGTCTGGTTCTTAACCACCACCCATGAATTTAATCAGTGACTTACCTTGTGGTGTGAAAATTGTGTTTTTGTGATCATCAGGTGTCAGCAGTAGTGTCCCTCCTCCCTTCGGCGGACTTCTACATCATCGAGAAGCCATCCATCTCAGTGCAGAACACAGCTCTGTTCCCAGTCATGGCGCACATGAGGACGGTGGAGGCCATGTTATTTGCACTCCTGGAACCCAGAAACTTCCCACAGGACACCAACATTCCTCCCAGGTTTGGCACTTTTGCTTGGAGCTTGGCTTTTTGAGAATGCCGACACCTAAAGTAGCAACTTCTCGTCACAGAGTTCTGAACATGATGCGCACCGCCGTGGGACGCCACTTTGGACTCATGGTGGGCGAGTCGCGGACTAGTGGGGCGCAGATAGTGCGGCGGTTGATGACGGAGTCTGTGACGCAGAAGATGCCGCGGATAAACTTCCCGCCGGAGCTACTGGTCAAATACAGGAACTGGTTCCAGATGAGCAGCAGAAGTGGCGGAGGAGAGGAGCTCTGCGACGCTCTGCTGCAGGCCGTGGCTTTTTACGAGCTGCTGAGTGAATCCTCTGCTTAGCCGCCGCTGATCTGGCAATGCACACAAAAACACATTGGCGGGCAACCTGAAAACTTTTTTTCTTCCTGCTCAACTTCAAGGATACAAACCATTTTAACTGGGGTGTGCAACCATTCTTATCAGGGGACATTTTAGTTTTTGTCCTCGGACGGTTAAACTAAAAAAATAAAATAAAAAAAAGAAATCGTGACGCTGAAAACATTTATTATATAGTGTGTGCTTTTTGTGGCTATTTGTTTTGGGGCCTAATATTTATTTCTAAAAAAAAAAAAAAAAGTGTTCTTGCATCTGGATATAGCTAACTGGTCACAAGTTGCCCGCATTTGAATTTATTGTAAGATGTGAATTTAATTACTTGTCCTGTATAACATTAGTTGGGGCTCGAGAGTGTGAAATCAGGCAACAAAATATTGTAATTATTTTATGATCGGACTATGTCGGAAAATTTTGGATTTGCTTTCCCCTTTATGGGCACCTGCTTTGTTGTTGAGGTTGGATGGATAAGCATGTATATGGTTCAATGTGCCAGCAGTACTTTGAATGCACATAGCGTTCATTTGCAGTTTGGACTCGAGGGACTTCCGTCTCCAGAAGTGTTTTAAACACCACAAAAAGTCAAAAGAGTTGTTGTTCATTGTTCATTTTTTTTCCCCAGTCACTTGGAGGGCCTTGGCAACATCTGGAGTAGCTCTCACTTCATCTCATGCAGCTCTACCGCTGGTAGACATGAAGTAATAAAAGCCAAACTTGGTACATTTCCACAACACAGAATCAACCCCCAAAACTACCAGTTAAAACCGGAGTGTGACAACCGGAAATTAAACATGCTGTAATTTTTGATCCTTTGACTACTTTATTTTAACCTAATAATGTCACAATCATCCTATCAAGACACCTGTGCAAATGCATAAAATTTACCTTTAAAATTGTTTTGCTTTTTTTGTGTGTGTGTGTGTCTACGTTGTACATTGTGCAATAAAGGAAAGTGACCTCAGTGCTTGAACAGTTAAAAAAATGTATTTAGGATTCAGGGTTGCACATAATTCCAGCAGCTGTCTCAACATGAATTTTGACAGTTTCGAGTAAATAGGCTGAGTGGAAAATAAATAGTGAATTTTTTTTTTTTTAGGCTGTCAAATTAGAACTGGAGAAATCCTGGGCCAGGAGTTGGAGTGTTGACTTGGAGAGGCCCAGGTGTAAACTTCGGAGGTAGTTCACACACCTATGTAGGAGGAGAAATGAACATTCCTTTTGAAAAACATTCGCAAAAGCACAATACAGTGAGCAGGTATGATTATTTACTGATCTGCAGAGTTAAGTATACGGAATTTAACAGCACTTTTTGAATCTCTACACGTGTTAAAAATAATGATCCAATTCTACGACAGCATTTTCTGTCACTGACTGAAGAGTAGAGCTTCCCATTTTTGCAGATGCCAGATTGTTCCAATTCCCTAACCTTTTCAGTCATTGTGATCTTAACCAATCAAGAGTCTCTTCAATGAAAACAATCAAATCTGAAACTATTGAAGCTGTTGATTGTTTGCTCACCGGGATGGCTCGTCCTCTTGCTGCCTTGTAGAGCGACTGATGGAGCGGAGGGCTGGTAGGTAATCAACGCATACAGCCTGCCTGTTTCCCAGCAGGCCAAAGTGCTGACTGCTCAGCACCGCTTGGCTCATCTTGTACCTCCTATAGCACATGCTGTGGATAAAAAGCACATGTCGTACACTCGCTGACCACTTCATAAGGTACACGCGCCAGGGGAACCGAATGACAAAAATGGCAAACACACAGTGAAGAACTTTCACCCTTTCATGCACCCTGTAACTTGATAACATGATAAGCTGTCCACTAAGGTAACCGCTGTCCCTTAAAGGGTGAAAAAAGGGCAACTTTTATACAGTCGTTCTTTTCACGTAAAAACAGGACAGCCCACTCTCTTTAACAAGTAGTCGCGTGTGTGAAGTTGAAATATAGAACACTCACATTGGGTCAGCTGGAGGTTGACGAGTGAGGTGTGTTTGTCCAAGTTCCGGTCTGCGCATCTGTGCTTCAGTTTCAACGTCCGACATGTGACTCCAACACCCGCGACACCCCAAAGCCTCCGCAGTTGCCCGAATTTCCAAGAGTCTCTCCCGGCTGTGACTCCGCACTTCCTCCTCGCTCGTTTCATCGAATAAACCGTCTTTAATGTCAGCTCCAGTCCAGACAAAGTCCCTTGTGCATGTCACTGGATCGAGCGCTTCTGTTGTTGCGACCGTGGCGTCGATGTACGACATGACGTCAAAAAAGTCAGCCAGACCATTCAAACATTTCAAGTCTACACTGGCGGCGCCTTGTTCAGTCCTGTGATGCAGCGTCGTCTTCCGAGAGTGGGAGCATCTTTCTGATCTGCGTGTCAAACGGGATCCGGTTCCCATCATGCTGCGAAACCCAAATCCATCCCTCACTGGGTTGATGTCCGCTGCCGCCAGCTTAGACCGGAGCACTGGAGTTTGCTGGTGGGACCTCATGGGTATAAGCATCTCCAGGTTGGTGTACAGTAGAGGAACATCTCTTCTCCAGCTCTCTACCAGCTTGTTCACGTCAGGTTCAGTCGACAGATTCTGAAGAATCGCACAGAAATTAATCCTCACTGGTAATTGATGGTTCAAATAATAGCCGGAGTTTGTACAAGGTAATTAATTGATGGTTCAAATAATAGCCGGAGTTTGTACACCTGCACAATGCCACTAAATACAAGATTTGAAGTGAATTAAAATTCTTCCTTCACAAAGATAAAGAACTACTGTTTCTACCCAGGCTGGCTTTACACTACAAGATTGATGTGACGTCACTGATGGCGTCGGGGTTCACTCGAGAATTGACTGTCGACCAGTCCGGGCTTCAACTCTCCGTGACCCCCGAACCGGCTCAAGAGCAAGAAAATGGATGGATGGTTGAAGTGACATGACTCCATTTTTCTCTCGTGTTCTGGCCAGTAATATACACGAGGAAAAGGAAAGGCAAGGAATCGGATAACCGAAAGACACACTGTTTTTAAAAAATATGTCACGACATGTGCATGTAATGTACATTATAAATAAAAAGAAATAATTAAATAAGGGAGGATTATTATTTTGGAAAGGCAGAATTTGAATTTGACCTGATGAATTTTTCCAATGTGTGTAACATACCTTCAGAAGGTTCAGCAGATGGTTTTGACTCACAGGATGAAGACCCAGCATGCTCGCAGTGCAGCCTGCACTAGGTTGGGGAAGCCTGAGAACTTCCCCTTCTACATTGATGCCTTCCAAACACACACGACACACACAAACGATTGCTTTCTGCAGTCAAATGTTGTGGCTTAAGTGTATCCCGAGAGAAGCACGACAACCTTGAACACTTTTCACCCACAACTGGAGCTGGAGGAGACAACGTCTGACGTCACCCCTGGCGAGTGTGATGAGGCTTCTCACATCGTCAATCTCCATTTTCACGCCCTCGGCCAAACATAGAAGCTGCAGGTAGCTGCAGACGTTCACCTGTTGTGAGGCAACTTGAAGCGTGAAAAGCCGGTCAACATGAGCACGGGTTAAAAAAAAAAAAAAAAAAAAAAGTACGCAGCAGCCGGATCTCACAGCTGATGGCGTCTTAAAAACAACTTCTTCCAAGCTGCTGCTGAATCGCTCTCTGAATGTAGAATCTAAGGATGAAATAAAAAGCATGCATAGTAATAAAATGCGGGTTTCGGCATTCTCACAAATACTCAGTTCTCCAATCATCTCTTGCTCGCAACACAATTTCCAGAGTTAAATATACAAGCTCATGGTGCCAGTAACTGCTTTCTGTCTCCAAAAGCAAAAAAAAAAAAAAAAAAAAAAAAAAAAAGGCAGAAGACACTGTCGTTTGTCTATAATGGTACATTACTGATTTCATTCTAAGTCCGTTTAACTTGAAAACTAAAAAACATTGTAAAAGAAAAACATTAACCATATGCTAATGTATATGTACGTTTCATATATCGTCTATGTTTGTTTGCAGGCTACATTCGGGATCCATGAAGCATGAGGTACTTTGTATGATGAGAGTATGGGACGGAGAGGAAATCATTGTCCTTTGATCTGTTTTTATTTACCGTTAGTGGTAAGAACAACTGGCCTCTTTGTCGTCATCATGAAAGTCTTGACGGCTGCCAAGAAACCGACATCCTCTTCAAATATGACATCAACCTATAAGAGAAGAAGCAGAGGAAACATTTAAATGTACAATAAATAAGATATTCCGGCGTGACTGTCCCACCTCCTCAAACAGGATTAGCGACATAGCTCCTTTTTTGTTCTGCGGTCTCGCTTGATGCTCAGGCCCAAGTTTCAGTTTGTCATGCGATGTCTCCGCTGGCGACAGATTGCACAGGTGATCTGCTTTGGCCTTCGTCTTAAAGAAGTTTGTCAGAGTGACCGCGGCTGGACTCTCCTTTCCTGTGCATCCGCGGCGGCCAGAGGTCTGCTTTCTTGAGCTGGGGGCCATTTTCTTGGGAGGTGGCAATTTGCCTCCTAGGGTAAAGAATGCAAATTAAACCCACGCAGGAAGACAGGGGCCTTCGATGCGAAATGAATAATTGCGGGGACATGGGCCATCTGCTGGTTTAATGCTTCCACTTTAGTCGTCCCTACAGAGGAGTGGTGGGCAAATGTTTGATTTTTAAAAAAGGACTGATGGGCCAGATCATTTCTAAATTTGGGGGGGGGGGGGTGTAGTTTAAATGCGTATATAAATTAGTTTAACAATAAAATGATTCTCTCATGTTTGTTTTATTGATGATAGTGTAATTAACCAATGAAAACAAGTTACGTATGTGTTTATTTTACAGCTTTTTATTATGATTGTCAAAAAAAATCAATTCACAAATTATCAAATGAGATAAAGCAATTAAAGATACTATAGAAAGCCAATTACACATTTTAACTACCTATAACCAATTTTAGAGAGGATTTTATTTTTATTTTTTAATATTATGGGATGCTTGCCACTGTAAGCTAACACTGTTTTTATTCTTTCTACCCCCAAATTTTGCTGCTGTAGACTGTAAATTTCCCCAGTGTGGGGCAAATAAAGGATATCTTATCTTATCTTATCTTAAATCTTCAGGTTTGTCTATACGTGCCCTGTGACTGACTGGAGACCACTCCAGGGTATGCCCCCCTGCAAGCCTTATGAGGACAAGCGCTTCACAAAATGGATGGACAGACAGCAAGGAAAAAAAAAAAAGTACGATTTTCCTAGTTCGTAATCCTACCATCTAAATGTTGCCTTTTAGAGGAGCAGCCTCTGGTGCCGTAGTTGTGAAAGTAGGCCGGTCTCAGCGGGTCCTTCCCGGCCGTCTCCACAAGGTGGGACTGGGTCGCTTCTTTCAGCTGATACAGAAGCTGGCGCCCATTACGTTGGGAGGAAGAGTTCACCTCAAATACCTGTCAGTTCATACGAGAAAAGGAAATTGAAGGTCTTCACGAGAGTTTGCTTGAAGACTTTGCAGATTGTGACCTTGAAGCCGAGCCCCTGAGCGCAGGCGTACACTGATGCAGTCTTGCCCACGCCTGAAGGACCCGTGATCAGCATGGTATTCCACGGCGGCTTTTCATGGTTGTCCGCGGAGCCAACCTCACCCTGGAAGTCTCCACAATCCCACGAATCTGCATTCAAATGACACGTGAGACATTTTAGTTGACATTACACTACAAATGACACCTTTCAATCTTTTTTTGACCGAAAAAATGTGAGCGGACAATAAATCCACATTACAATGGAGTAGTAATACAAAGTATTAATCACAAAAAAAAAAAAAAAAAAAAAAAAAAAAAAAAAGCAGTTTTGAAGAAAATAATGCTTCATTTTGGTCAGTGTGAAGGATTTATGTATTATTTTATATAGTGTCAAAATAAGTTTGGAATTAGGAATGTAAAAAAAAATATGCTAATAACGGTTTAACAACAGGAACCGATTATTTATATTTTCATTCCTTCTATGGGAAAACCTACCTTACCTTGAGTACAAATGCTTCCTCTGCTCTTTTCTTCATTTTTTATTTGCTCCACGATCCTATTCTCATTGCAGTTGATCCACCGTTTCCACATTGTCAACCAACTGAAAAAGATGCTAGTGTGCATTGAACTTAAATCAACATTAGTTGAAAGTGTGTCTGTCGTTTATGAGCGCTTACCTGTGCAGTTTGTTCACTTGGAGGATATTGCCAATAAGTTCACTTGCACATTGAGGACTGTACTTGTCTGTCCACAGCTCATCCTCCCAACTGGACACTAGAGCACACATTACTGAATAGCACACAAACGCGAGCTTTGGAAGATATAATCAGAATGTATACCTTTTCGCATAATTTCAAGCGTTTCGTCATGATCTGTGTAAATAATTCTCCCGCTTCCATTCGCAACCTGCTGCTTAAGTCTCCGAGTGCGGCTCAGCCTGCTCGCTTTGGGACGCGTTTCGACCGAATACTTCGTTGAGAGGTTGGAATTAGCCGTATCTTCAGTGAAGATATTAGACCTCAGGCTTTTGGAGGCCTTCTCTGAGCCGTCCTGTTTCTTCTTCAAATCCAAGTGCTTTGCCCCTTTAAGAGATAAAGAAAGATGCAGATAGCATCACATTGTAAACGGGATCCCATGCACCAAATTAGAGGTCAAACTCCGGCCATCCAGATCACTTCCTGTGGCCAATGAAAGTTTGCCACCATTGTTCCTTGACTTCTATTCAAAACTTGTTGGATGATTTCAGTCAAATGCAGGGAGAACTATGTAATATGTGTAACAGCAAATGTATTCAGATTCTGATTTTTCTGTACAAAACATTCAGGAATCTTTAGGGTACAGGTGTACAGAGTTCCCGCATGGAACATATTCGGGAAGGGACAGGAAGTTGAACAGTGTTGCGCTTTAGCCACATGTCTATTTCATCAACAAATAGCAGATTAGGGTGACCAAACACCCTCTTTTGCCTGGACATGTTTTAAACCCTGTCCCGCCGTCCAGGGGAGTTTAACAAATTCATGAAAGTCTCCGGCTTTAATTATTTTTCACGGCACCAATTAACATGTGTTTAATTTGACTGACATTTTTTTTTGGCGTGCATTTTAAAAAAATGATGGGAGATCGTTCGCAGTGTACCATTACCGGGGTGAGAAGACACGGCAGGACCAGTGTGTGGAGCAGGTACGCCCAGGTACGCGTGTGAGTGCCATAAAAAAAAAACTGTTTGCAGGTGGTTGGCAACCAGCTCCGCCACTCGCCCAATGTCAGCTTGGATAGGCTCGAGCACACGAGTGACTCGAGTGAGAATAGGGGTACAGAGAATGAATGTATAAATGAACTAATTGATTTGCACCTGTCATTCCAGAATCTGGTACCCTCTCTCTGGCTTTCCTCTGCAGTGTTCCAAACACACCTTGGACTGGGAATGCTGTATTGGATGCTTGGATGTCCCGCAAAAGGCTGTGCAGAGTTTGCTCGGATGATACACGTGACTGCTGCAGGAATGATGAAGTCTTTGGCACCTTATCACCCGTTGCCAACATATCAGCTTCACACTGAAGATGGGGCATCTTCCGCTCTGTCTGCATACACCTGCTCCTTTTTCTGCCGTCCTGCTGTAGGTTAAATACATGTATTGATACTGAAGTCAGATTAGATAAATTATAGATTGATAGATTTGACAGACAACACTAACGCCCTTACCTCGTGTTTGAGATCTCGCTTCATGACTAAACGAAACATTGTGTAGACACGTTCTGGTGTGTTTCAGTTTGTTCGTCGCGACGAAAAAGCCAAAATGTCAAAAAGTAGCCTTGTAGCATTTTGAACATGGCGCCTTTACGTCGAGTCGACTGCTTGCGTTTCGGTCGAACTAATCATTCACCCTTTCATACACTCGACTTCGCAGTTCACGCGAGTTTATTTTACAAAAAAAGTTACATACCGATACCGACGACTGGAAGCGACATCAAAAAGTAGTGGAAGTAAAACTTTACGAGTTTTGCCCAACTTATTTTTTCCCAGCAGAACAAACTCTCTTTTTGACACACTACTGCCACCTGCAGTTGTGATGGCTCAACTATTCGATTAAAGATTAATACATGCGCATGAAAGAGAATAGCAACTATTGATTAGTTTCCTTGAGACCGTTTTTATTAATAAAACTTGTGCGTGTGTGGGGGAGCGACTGTAGTTTCAAAAACTGGCAGACGAATAGTCAGAAGGCAGTAATGTACAGAGACGGATGAAAATCGATTGCAATTGATGGAGAATGAGCGGTGGAAGAAGGAATGGGCATCTTCATATTCAATTGTTGCTAAAGGCGCATCAGGAATGTACTGTTTTAATAGCGTTTCAAAACTTTCAATAAAACCTTTTTCATGTGGTTGGGGGAGGGAGACACAATTTTTTGTAATAACACTAATAAAAATGTATTCTTTCAGGATACACGATATATATGAACAGGTTGTTCGACAGGGGCAAGTGGTAGATTTAGTAGACTGAATGGCTGCTTATCTACATGTGCACTGTAATTGAATGGCAGTCATTCCAGGGTGTGCCTCGCATCCCAGCCAGGTACATGGGATAGGTTCCAGATGTTGTCCATTTGCTGTAGATACTGTAGCTACGTGAGGTCAACAAATTACAACCAGCTCCCAATATCGCAATCAACTATGACCGATTTGTAAAGGCTCATTTGAACAATGCAGCATAAATTAGGGTGATTTTTATTTATTTATTTAAATATAAAAACCCTAAATCCAAAGTGTACGTCTTTACATGATTCTCAATGGGATGTTTTGTAAATAAAAGGCGAGAAATTCTCCCTTTTTTTTCTTCACCAGATGAAAGAAATAAATCTGACTTCTACAGATAAAAATATACCAAATTAGGGTTGGGAATGAACCATCAATGTCAGTTTATACCCAAAGCCACCAAAAAAAAAAAAAAAAAAAAAAACCCCTAACAGAACTCAAAATACTGATAATAACCCCTTTGGTAAACCGGCACCGAAAACTATAATCTAACTGTTATTCTTTGAACTCTATTGTCCAGAAAAAAAAGGTTTTGGGTAGCCCAAACACACTCCCTTATTGTATAAACGGCCTGACATTTCTTGTACTCACAGTATCAACAATGATACTAAAACACAAGTTCTTCAGATTCTCCACTGATGACTAAGGAAAGGCTGTATAACACATTTGGGCGTAGCTCTGAGTTTATGAAAACGGAAAATCTCTAAATACAAAAACATCAAGTGCTAAAAGTAATCAGCTATGGGTTTTAAAAAGGTTATCATGTATGTGTACAATTCACGTTAGCAGTACAGTTTCAACTGTTGTTCGAACGATCCTCATCTTAGCCGGACACACAAGAACAAGGGTGGGGAACCAGGGTCCAGTCCTCCAGAGTAGGCCATATAATTGTATTAGGAAAAAGAAACAAAACAAAAACCAAGATTATATATATTAGGAGCTTTTGTGGGTTAAAAATTTGTTTGGGCTTGGATCAAATACTCTCATGAACCGGGCATCCCCACCCCTGCAATCTGTTCATATCACCCAGTCGTGATGTGGGTGATTCAATTCTACATCATTCATATTTGGTTGAGTTCAAGTTTTAAAAACTTGTTTACCTTGTATAATGGTCTGTTTGCAGTCAGACGCTCTGCTGACCACCTCTAAGCACCAAAAGGTTGGAAATGTTTATTGAAGGGGGAGAACCCTAAAACCCTCCCCTGCGACTACTACAAGCCTGCATCAGTCCGTGAGAGCGCTTTTTGTCCTCTTGCCCTGCTTCCCCACAGCGGAAGACGCCGCGCCGCCGTTGCAGCTCCCCGCCGCCGCGAGCAGCGCGCGCTCTTGCCGTTCCTCGGCATCCTCCGGGAGCTCCTCCTGGATCTGCTTCAGACGCGCCATGGCCCGGTCGATGGTGGCCGTGCCCACCAGGTTGAAGTCGTGCATGCTCACCAGGTGGAGGAGGAAGTTGCGGCAGAGGTTGCGGCGGACGATGTGCGCGCCACAGTCATCCACAAACAGTATGATGGCCTGGTTCATCTGGTTATCCGCTATGAAGCTGCCACACAGACCACACCACAACTTTATTGGATGAGAAATCCAAGTCAGTAGACAGGTTCATCTCTATTATGGTCGAAAGGTTAATTAATTTCAGTCGTTTGATTCAAAGAGTCAAGTCAAATTCCGTCCTTTAACGCAAAGGAAAATACTTCTTACGCCAATTTGTTACCTTTTTTTCTATATTAATTTTTATTTTGTATTTCTATTTTACTGTATATAGTGCATCAATGTTGTGGCTGGTGAGTATATATGATGATTTGGTGTCCACATACCCATGCTGCATGACATGAAGGTTCCACAACTTCATCACCTCCTTCTCTCCTTCATTGACATCTGTGAACTCATCCAGTTGCTGGACAAATAAGTAAATAAATGCTCAGAACAACAATTAGTATCACGGGTTTATGCTGTACTTGTCATTTTGGTAATAAAACAAGCCACAAATTCGACAGTAGTCACAAAGGAGACCTCCGGACATTAAAAAGAATTTCACTAATTTGCACAGTGTAACCTTGGTTCAGGTCCGATGTGGCTTCACATTGGACGTCTTCAGCAGAGTGCAAGGTTCATATTACAATGTTTACATGCCACGGTTCTCGCCTTACGTTTCAGTCTGAAATGCTCCCACACTTTCAGCATCTTCCCACGGCCTCAACTAAAAAGTTCGCTTCCGACTTCCTGTGTATGTGATGTTAAGGATAAGATAAGAAAACCTTTATTTGTCTCACAATGGAGACATTCCCATTCGCGTGTGACGTCTGCTTGCAATTGTGCTTTTGACTTGCAAACTGCGACGTGAACCTGTTTAATTATTGTACAGTCAGTTATTCACGAAACGAAAAACTTTACTATTAGCGGTTCTTGTGGTCGTGCCAAAGGCTAATATGTAAATGTTGCTTTGGATCTTTGCATCTTAAGACCTAGCATCTCGGTTGAAGTGAGAGGAGAAGCTTCATTTAGTCAGGCCACAGCCTTGTTGAATGGAACATTTTTTTCTGGGATTTAGTGGCATCTATAGAACGATACGCAACTACACACCTTTATGAGCGAGCAAGAATTACAGATCCACTATTTGCTGCAGGGCGCCCCCACAACACAACATTCTAATCATTTCACCAAATAGTTTCTGATAAGTCGTGGCAAAGATGCGATTCTCCGACAGTTTAAGTAGTCTGTCGGCATAATAGAAAAAAATGGCAGGCAGTGGCAGCTCTTACCGTTGCAGTTTTCTCTCTGAGCCACTCGGGATCCCGCTCATCCTCGCTGTCCACTTCCATCTCCTGGGGTCGCAGCGGCATGCAGCTGTCACTATGGAAGTAAAGGCGGTTGTGTCCGCTCACGTAGGTCCTCTGCTGTTCCATCTCGCCCTCCTCGGACTCTAGAAACTCAGACAGGCTCGGCTTGGTCCTTTTAGGCCTGCAAAAGAAAAACACAAAGTAACCATATAGTATCATGTGACAATACCACCGCCTCAACTTTTTGGCGCTGATGCATTTAAGCAGTCATTCCAAGCGATGTTACGGTGTGGTCAACAGATAAGATAAGAAAAGAAATCCTTTATTAGTCTCGCAATGGAGAAATTCTCAATTCACAGCAGCAAAGTTATGAAAGGAAGAAGTCGAAAAACAAAATATAGGAGCTGCTGGAAAGGCAGCCACTCTCGCGGCGCCATCTTGAAGTCAAAATAACCAAATGACACAACACAACACATTGGACAGACAGTCGTGCAATCTTAATCACTTTTCGGTTACCTGCAAACCAGTATGTGAGTGACGGCGGTCCTCTTGACGGGGCCGTTGCGGCTGAAAGCGAAGCCCGGCTGGCTGTGGATGTCCTGAGGATTGCCAACGTACGAGCCGTCATAACACTCGTTGATGGACACGTCTATCCTTGCTCCTTTGGGGTGAGGCTGCAAATTCAAACATGGGAAAAAATATCTGAAACACACTGTTGAAGACAACCACCATGGTGAATTTTTTCCCCCTACATAGATTTCAATATCACCAGTGTCCAAAGAAAAGCAAAAACAAAGGACTATCTTTTCTTAAATGCAAAAGCAGGCTTTAAAAAAAAAAAATAGATGTATGGTGTGAATGTCGGTTTTGATTATCTGTTTGAAGTGCTTTGGTATCATCCTTCCGTGGTACATGTGTGCAATGACACCCTCCCCCCACCAAACTTGACAAAAGGAATTAAAAATAATAACTGGGGGATACATGCGTTCCTTTGGACAACAATGAGTAATCACTTGTATTTGCTCTATAACACCGTCAATTCTGCATAGACGTTTTGCTCAACATTTTCCTGTATATACTCTGGCACGAATACTGGCAATTTGGGGGAAAATATCACTGACACCATAACAATAGACCACCTCATCTTTTTTCCCCCCCATGTTTCATTTCATGATTGTGCTATTCTTCAAGAGGAACTAAACCGAGGAAGTGAAAACTTTGTTTCATTTTAAATGTGCATATCTTCCTTATCACGAGCTGCTTGCTGAAATCACAAAGTGTCTATTGTGTATTTAAAAAAAAGTGAAATTATTGCATCCAATCGCTTTTGTGATCAGATCATTTTTGGGACTTTTCACTCGACATGTTTCATGGAACTTTTTTTTTTTTTTTTGCCAATTGCGGCACACTGTGCCGCACTTCCTCCGTCAACCGCTGCGTGTTTTCTAGCTCATCCCGGTGATACACAGGCTCGAATGTACACCCACTGCAACATCTCTTCCAGTCTGCAGCCAATCGTGATTTCGCTCAACCTGGCACCCCCTTATGATGACTCATTATTCTGTTTAAAATGTACTAAAGGGTGTTTTCTTTCAGGTCTGGTACACAACTGCCAGGTTGAGTAAATTTATGAATACAACTATAATCTCTAGCCAAGGTGTTATTTCAGTAAAATGCATTTGAAAGATTCATCAAGACTCCCAAAAATTGGATTTGTTGGTTGGACTGCTGCTTTCTATTCACAAGCAGAAATACTAGCATAATTATGGCAGTTGTCGGCCAAGATCTAAATTTGTTTGACCGGAATATTTTGATTTTAGGCACTCCCCGTGATTCTTAAATGCCTCTTAAAAAAAAAAAAAAAAAAAAAAACCCTCATGACTTTTAAATACTTTTTACTTCCACAAAAGATATGATAGGAATGTTATTCTTCCTTACCACATAGTTGAAGATGAAACGTGAGTGTGAGAGTTTGAGGTGTTTGAGGAGGCTGTAGAGCTTGCTGCAATTTAGCGTGCACCAAGGGCAGTGAAGGTCATCCCTCGCCTCTGTCTGTTGCCGCGTATTGTTGTTGTACAGGAACTAAGTCAGGAAAAGGTCAGACAACACGTCCAGTAACTGGATGATGAAAGCCATGTCGACGGTGGTACATTATGCATCATCACTCTTCTTAAAAGGTGGTTTACCTGATAAAATATCCGTAACTTTTGCCGTGGCTCACATGGGATGAGTTCTTTCCTCATCTGGATATCTGTGCTGACCGACTCCTTCACTGCTGAAAAGGAATACATGGAGGAGAGTTGTTCAACCAGTCAATAAAGCACTTTATCAAAACTTGTTACTATTATACAGTTGTTCATTTTCATAATAAATAAATAAATATATTGGAGCTGAACTGTACAACATGAAAATGAAAATGCAGGTGAGTCTTTCAAATGCAGCTCGTAAAGAAACAAGGGTCTCACCCAAGGGGGTGGCTCTGTGGTGACTAGTCCTGGTCTCCATGGGGCCAGAGCTGTCCGAGTTTCGGGTAGCCAGGGGTTTGGCGACGGGGGCTGTAGACTTCCCACTGGCTTCACCAGTCCAGCGTAGAGTAAATTGCAATGTGGGTCCCTGAGAAAATGTTTCAAACGGTGGCAGCCTCTGAAGTAGGGGAGACACGACACCACGTTGGTCAGTGATTTGCGATGACAAAGACCAGCAGTGGAACCGGGATTGTAAGCGTCACGGAGCCAAACGTCACCTTGCCATCAAGAATCGTCTCCCACGTGGCTCGCTTCTTGCTCACAGGGCTGTCCTCCATCCACTGCATGGACACCTCATACTCTCCATCCAGCAACTGCAACCTCCTGCACACGTCAAAAAAAGGAGGCATTTACAATAACCAGTCCCTTAATTAAGAAAACAATCAAATACGATCCAACACACACAATGTATTCGACTTTTGCCTGAACTGTCCTCCCTAATGTGTTATTGTGTGTAAATGCCAAAAGGTGAGTTTAATAACTAAATACGGTTTTAGTAAAGTTCTATTGTTCAAGGATGATGGACTTGTAAACAAAAGGAACACACCTTGTTAAGAAAATGACACCAGAAAGGCAACCGGCAAGGTGCAGCAGTGCAATTCTGTATGCATCTACGTCATCAGAATTTTCATTGACAGAAAAAGGATGTCCGTTTTATTTCGCTGCCATTGGGCATAATCCCCACACCTCCCAAATCATCACTTTTCAGAGGACCGAAAAAACAGCACGTTTGTTCCAACAATTAACATTGCATCATCAAAGAGAACACGCCATTGTTTACTTCTGAGTAGTCATTAATTCGTAACACGTGCAGACTGACCAATAGTATAAATCGTGAAAAAATATGACATTTACTAAATTGTGACACGGGAGGCTCTGGCCTGATGCAAACAATTTGATTATTCAAAATACGTTGTATTTACAAAATACAGTATATTGGCAGCAGGAACATCACACGCATTATAATCAGCATGATTTGTTCTTATCAGTGTAGATGCGTCATAAAAGATCCATAAATGTACCTGTTCTTATCAAAGACAGTCATTTGAGCAACATATGTCTCTGTTGTGTCCCCTTCTTCCTTATGAGACGAGTTCCTCTTCTTTCTACTTTGAGTATCTCTCACATCTACACACACGGATATATTGTCATTATATTTGTATCATAGAAGGCGCCACTGTCGACTTTGAGGAGCTGCTGACCGATGTTCTCGTTGGCTTCGCCGTTGGGCAGGCCATTGGCATCCCTCCGGCCCGTGCGCGACACCCTGAAGAGGAGCGAGTACGACTTGACCATGTGGCTGTTGCTGGGCTCAAATTCGTTGCTGGACACCACTAAGGAGGGACAGGAGGCCAGCTTGCTTTGCTGGCTGTCAGGGTTCAAAGGCACCTGCTTTTTACCTGTAGGCACTTGCTTAACTGGGCAGCTGACATCCTGCAAGGAGCAGAAGAATGAGCGAATAAACAAGATGACACGACGAAAGAGGCTGAATGTGACGACTAACCTTGCGTTTTTTATGGCAGACTTTGACAAGTAGCACCTCCAAGGAGACGGAATTTTGCTCATTCTCTGAGTTCTGAGATGGCTTTTCTAGACGTAGGAAAGTCAAAATAACAATGTCATCGTTATGGTGGAAAAGTGTGGCGGTCAGAGTAGATCACCACATCATGTAAAATTATTTTTAATATTTGGCGGGAAACGGTCAGCTGAATTGAGTCTGGACGCATGTTGTCAGGCTGTTTACATGCCTCACTAGGTGCTTTTTGGTTACCAAGAGAGTTGAAAATTGGCTCAGCTCATAATTATTTAATAATGCTTGTGACCCATGATGGCTATGACATGAAATAATGACAACATTTTTCTTTATATGAAAAGGGAGACATATTTGTGAGGGAGGTGTTAATTTGTCTTAAGCGCACATCTCACTCAGCGACTAATTTGGGCATTGACTATGAAAGATGGCAAATACAAATATTTTAGAACATTACATTATTTTCTTGGGGCATTTGGAGTCAGAGGACACCTTTCAATGTGTAAATATTTCCCTTAAATTCTTATTCTGGCCAGTGCATCAATGCTTATGGGTACAAGCATAGGTCTACTTACCGTCCTTATGGAAGAACCCAGTAAAAGTTAATTGCAGATGAGAAGATAAGCTAAAACACACACAAAAGTGGAAATTAAGTTAAATGCAATTATTTATTTGGTTATTGGTTGGAACACTGAAAGATCGTTTCGGCCAATGTTACCTGGGAGAATCCTGCTCTCCCTTCATCTTCTCTACAGTTTGCAACATGTTATCTACTTTGAATGCTTTCCTGGGAACAAAAAGAAAGATAATTAGAATCAAGTTTTGCACATAAGACAACAGAGAGTAGAGACAGATGCATAAGTGACACTTTTTGTACCTTTTGGCATTGGAGCGACCATTTCTATGAGACATGAAGGTCAGAGTCCTGTGCAAAAATATCGGCTAAAAGGGAGGAGGATGCAGTCGTTTTTTTAGATACTCAATTCTTTCAGGAAAAAAAATAAGAACGTAACTTACTGCAATCAAGTTCCTGGTGCGAAGAAATCTGTATATCTGTGTTGGCTCTGGGAAAGAAAGCAAATAATCTGCACTTCTACAAAACCCTATGTATATTAACACGTTATAAACAACCAAATGAAAAGAAATGTCACAAGTTAAATGATTCGAGATTGGGGCTGTGAGAAAAACAATCAAATGAGTCTCTCTAATGTAAACACTAGGAAACTGGACCACATCACACCATTCACAAATCACAAATTCTGTGAGTCAAAGAATACATTTTAAAACTTTGCTGGTGGTCTCATAATTTCTGAATTGTCTTGGACCAAAATACACACAAGATGTACCAGAAACCTACGAAGCATACAGACCCTTCAGGTCAACTGGGACAGGTCTCTTATGTGCTCCCAGAACCAGAACCAAAGTGAAGCAGCATTTAATTACTATGCTCCTCACTTGAGGAACAAACTCCTCGAATACCCGACGTCTGCTAAAACTGACAGTTCATTTAAATCAGGGCTAATAATATTGTTTACTGCAGCATTCTCATAAATGTATCCTTTATTCTCTTCTTTTAAGCCCCATTTGCACAGCAACTTTTATCTAGAATGATGCTTGGTTTTACAGTGAAACTCCTCTACAGCGAGAACTACATGGGCGAAAGTACCCCGTAGTGTGAAAAAATCTTCATGCATTAACACCATTCCCACTCTCCTGCCCCCCATACAACAAAAAAAAAAAACAAAAAACCCTGTTGCATTATACGAAATCTTTTTCTCTGCTCTTGCCTGGCGAAGAGATTCACTACAACAAAGTCTAATCCAACAGCGACCTCTACTGCTTCGTTTGGAAACGGCAACAGCAACCACCACACTGGTTGACAGTAAATATTCCCATCTACAGAGTTCTTTCAAAAGGAAATTCCTTCACCCGGACTAAAAACCTATGCATTAAAATTTCGACTACGATGTTACAGTAACGATCAATTCATAACACCGGAATTTGCACTACCCGGAACCCGGAAGCCATACAGAAGCATGCAGTGGCGCAAACACAAGCAAGTCCCGCTCGATACTACGGAATAACTCTGTCCGCGCCGCTATTTACTCTCATTGGATACAAAACGGCAACATGTAAGTGACTCTAATAGCATGAGTTTTACAGGAATAGTGAACGATTTTTATTTCGTTCACAGCTCCGACTTTTCTGAACGCAACATACTCATAGCTGCTCTGCCATTGGCTTACTGAGCATCATCCTGGCCTCCGATTGGCCAAGAGGGACCTCACTATCTATGTGTGTAGATACTGTAGCTAGATCCGTGGAAGATAGAGTGGAATCCATCCGATTAGCTGCTCAGAGTAAATTGCTTGTGGCTCGACGGACAGTCAAATAAACGAACGTTTCCTGGAATGCTTTACTTGTTATCATGCTAAAAACCTTACGCTAACTGGGGCGCCAATTAGAGAGAAGGCGAGTTCCATCGCGCTAACTATGGCCATCGAGGGCTACGAAGCGTCCCGTGGCTGGCTTTAAAAGTTCATTGCATGACATCCGCTGAGCAACGCTGTCTTGAGTGGCGATCGAGTTAGAGACAGTGAGATGGTGGAAAGAAAAGCCACCGGGTCCAGGAAGTATTTGTTATTGTTAGATTCATACGAGCATGGACGTTGCATTGCTAAAATGGCTACAAAACGGACCTTTGGATGTTAAGCAGCTAAGACAAGAAGCGCTCTGACGCTGGAAGAGAGGGTAAAAGTGATCAAAATGAAAGACAGAGGAAGCAAAATAAAATACATTATCCAAGAAATTGATGTAAGTGAAAGTGAACGCTGATCGTAAATTTCGCAATTTCTTTCCCTTTTTTTTCTTTCTACACGGACTATATGAAGTGTCAAATAAGTGTGTGCTCATACTTATGCACTATTGGAATAAAAATAAAGAGTACACATACGTTTGTGTGTGTGTGTTTACATCTGAGATCAAATTTGCTACAGTGAAAAACCCCCTGTTGTGAAAAATGGCTTGCTGCAAACATGATTTCGTTGTAGAGGAGTTTCACTGTAATCTAATTATTTGAGATGATTTTTAAATAATCTCTTAATATTTAGTTTTTCTTTGTGTAATGCTTTCAATGTTTGATGTGAAGCACTTGGAATTGTTTTGGAAATGAAATGCGGTGGGCAACTAAACTTGCCCTACCTTGCCTGTAACCAAATGAAGGCAGCTGGTCTACTGAGTTAAACTAGTTAGTACATAATCTAACTACAGAGACACTACTTTATTCCTGTTTTTTCATGTTTATTTTTTGTTATATTCAAAAGTAGTAAATGATTATGTACACAGTACATTTTATTACTAAATATACCACTGTACATTGATGACAGTTTACAATTACGGGCTGTGAGGAAAAGACTTGAATAGAATTAAACTGGGAGCAAAGTACCAAATAGACACTATTGATTGAACATATTGGAGAAACGAAACCAAACAGCGACGTAGTAAAGGACTGAAGTCTCACTTTCGAAGGCCTGGAGAAAGAGCTCATGGTCGGCCTGAATCTGCTCCATCTTCGGCTTCTTCACGGAGTTCAACATAGCCGACGAGGCGGGGTACACGGCACCGTTCGCTTTGCAACCCGCCCCGCTCATAATGTGGCCGGAATTCTACGAGCGGACATAACATAAATGTTACCATTAAAACACACACAATTACTGGACAAACAATGGCTGTGCGGCAAAAGTTACCGCAACGACTAGCACGGCGGCTAGCGAAACCCACACTTGCTATCACGCTATGAAGATTGGGTCAGTGTTCTTTTGGTCCGGCGTGAAACTAATACTGACGAAGTAATTCACCTTTAAGTGCATTCGACATGAATAAAGACAACCTACCCTGGCGGATGGCATCAATTTGTTAGCCTCGCTGCCCCCAGCACAAGCCTGGAAGAATCAACAGCGGAAGCCCATGAAGATGAACAGGACGCGACGAGAACCTGGTCGCTGGCTAGTTAGCTAGCGATGCTAGCATAGTTGACCGGCAAATGAACCGGTAGATCTCCGGGTTGCCGCGTACAGCCACGAATATTGTTGTTTTATCGGATATGGACTGTATAATTTTCGTGACATTAATAACCATCTAAGAGTAATTTATCGCCGAGCGGCGTCCCTTCAATTTGGAATGAACAACAGAGCATTGCTCATTTGTCAGCCAATGAGAACTGCACTGTGTGAATCCACGGCTGCGATTGGCTACTGGAAAGAGGAAGTGACGCGTGCCCGCTCTTGGGTTCTGCGATTTTGCGGGAAACGAAGCGAGCGTTCAAGTGGACGAGTTCATACTGTCCGGCTTGCGTATTTTCCTTTACAGCATATAAAGATTTTCTCGCCAAGTATCGTTACAAATTTTGACTCACCCATCTTCGAAACTAATTAAATCACTATCAAAACTGAAGTAGCTTTTTTTACAGCATCATGCACACGTGTGAAAGCCTGGCAATATTTTTATAATAAGTACATTTGGAATGATGTGAATACCTAGCATTATTTAAAAAAAGCAAACTACATCTACATTGACACCTCGTTAAGAAGGATAGAATCCATTGGAGTGCCTGGCTGCTTGGAACATACTGGTGTGGTAACACAACTCCTCAGGGAGGCAAATGCAATGGCTCGATCTCGCCAACGCAAATGGGTCCATCCCACACAAGCTTGTTGAACTCGCCCTCCACCGACTTCATGTTCCCAGCAAAATTTCAGACCTTATTCTGGATTACTACAGTAACTTCAGGCTAACATTCACCGCAGGATTAGGTACATCAGATTGGCATCGGTTTGAGAAAGGCATTATAACCAGCACCATCTCAGTCATCCTTTTCGCCCTCGCCATGAACATAATAGTCAAGGCAGCTGAGGTAGGAGTACGCCAACCCCTAATCAGAGCCTTCATGGACGACCTGACTGTCAGTCATCACGACATCCGTACCAGACAGCAGGTGGATTCTCCAAGGCCTTGAGGAGATCATCGGCTGGGCTCGGATGACCTTTAAGACAGCAAAATTGAGGTCTTTAGTGCTCAAGAAAGGTAAAGTAGTGGACAGGTTCCGCTTCTCACTGGCTGGAGCCACCATCCCATCCATCACAGAAAAGCCAGGAAAGAGTCTTGGGAAGTACTGTACTCTGACTGGAGAATGTAATGTGTAATTGTGCCCCCCTCCCCCCAAATTACCTTGGTAAGGATTAACAAATCAAAATAACGACTAAATACATGTGCAACAATCTGTTTATATCACTGACAAGTATAGTGTGGTATCAGCAACACTAATGATATAAGCGCCTCTTAATACGAGGGCTCTCTGTAGTGGTAGGTGAAAGAATCACTGAATTAAATACAAATATAATTTAGATTTATAAAATAAGATAAAACTTATTCAAAAGATGTTTGTAGCTTTGCACACAGTCTGTTCATTGGTTTATTTTTCAATCCAGTACTGTTGTTTTATATATATATATATACACATACACACACACACACACAGGTATATTATAATAATATTATATATTATTAAGTACAGTTTAGTAACTTTTTCACTAACTTTTATGTACATATGTGCATTTCATCTTTGAGAACTGTTTGTTTTAAAGCATGTATTGAAATACATTTTTTTATTTTATTGTACGTGCAATGTGGTTTAAGGAAATATTATAAGCATATGTTTTATTTAGTTAAGTATGGTCAAATAGCTTAGAATTGGCCATATACTTTTTGGGAATACTGTACAACCACTGCTAAGTTTTTTTTTAAGATGAAAACATGTTTGTTACTGTATTTTAATTTTGGCCATGAAGGTTACTAGTTTTTGTGAGGTGGTACTTGGTTAAAAAAAGTTATTGAACTCCTGATTTACACGATTTTACACAAAATGTTTGTATCTTTGTACACTGTCTCTTCATTTGTTTATTTTTCTATCTAGTACTGTTGTTTTATTTTTATATATATATATATATATACATACACACACACACACAGGTATATTATAATAATATTATATATTATTAAGTACAGTTTAGTAACTTTTTCACTAACTTTTATGTACATATGTGCATTTCATCTTTGAGAACTGTTTGTTTTAAAGCATGTATTGAAATACATTTTTTTATTTTATTGTACGTGCAATGTGGTTTAAGGAAATATTATAAGCATATGTTTTATTTAGTTAAGTATGGTCAAATAGCTTAGAATTGGCCATATACTTTTTGGGAATACTGTACAACCACTGCTAAGTTTTTTTTTAAGATGAAAACATGTTTGTTACTGTATTTTAATTTTGGCCATGAAGGTTACTAGTTTTTGTGAGGTGGTACTTGGTTAAAAAAAGTTATTGAACTCCTGATTTACACGATATACGTAATGAGATGTAATAATTACTACAGTATAGCCTTATTATTTAATCTGTACTACATATACTGTATACTGTACTTGTTTTCCCGTCGGAGTTATTTGATAAAGGACCCGGAAGTGTAGAGAATCATAACTTCCGGACATGTGTGAGGGAATTGATTTGTCGCTAACGTTAGCTGTCTCGTGGCACGATCTTGGTTTGATAGTAATCCATTAACAAAGCTGACATTAGGTCATTCAGTTTCGTCAAAATATCGGTGAATGTAATTCTTTTGAGGGGGCGAGATGGCGGAGATCGTTCAGCAGCGGATCGAGGACAGGATTCCGGAATTGGAGCAACTGGAAAGAGTGGGACTCTTCACCAAGAAAGAAGTCAAGTAAGAGAACACACTCAAAGTTAAATGTGCTCGAATTATGATCGTACGCTTTTGATTCAAGAAACAACAAACATCACACGTACATAACTTGTGGTAGGATTCCTTAACATCTCCTTAAAGGCATTTTGATAACATGAACAGAAAAACAAGTGTGGAAACCTTTTAGTAAAAGTAGCTTTTCAAAAATGGTTGCATGAAATACGAACCATTGAGCCTGTAAAAAGCACGAAATACATTTTCCAATGACATCACAACCACTCTGATAGTGACGAGTTACTTATTCTCGAATTTCTTCCATAAATTAAAAATAAGACATTGTTTTCACCACATAAAATCCTGTGTGTTTTAAATATTGGGAGAAGATATGCATAATATCTGACTTCTACTCATCTTAAGTCAGTTACAACTTTGTGTTTTGCAGAGCCATCATCAAAAAGGTGACATCACTGGAGTACAAACTCCACAGGCTGATCATCAATAAAGATGACTTTATAGCATACATACAGGTTGAGTCATCAAACTTCTAATTCACGCACATTAAACTAAGTGATGTTGAAAAGGCTCATTCATGGAGATTGTTGTTAAATTGCAGTACGAAATCAACGTCCTGGAGTTGGTCAAGAAGAGGAGAGCGGTTGGTGGATCTATTATATTTATAACGTGATGACGATCATTATATTGCTCCGGGCTGTTTTTCAAACTGCTTCTCATCTACGCTTCTGCTTTTGCAGCACATACGCTACCAGTTCAAGAAGGAAGAAATCGAGTTTCCCATCATACACAGAATCAACAGTGTCTTCAGAAGGGCCACAAATAAGTGGAAGGTACTTTCGGAAGGGCATCCTCCCGCTGATAAAATATGATAAGGACGTGTTGCACCACCAGAGCGAAACAATCCTATTATGTTGCACTGGTAATTGATTAACAACTGTACTGTTACAAGAAAAAGTCAATATTTTTAGGAGGTGACTGTATGACGAAAACAATATTCAATGACATTTAGTGGTCTCATAAGATGCAATTTGTATTATTGTAACAGCAGTTTGGAATAGATGAAAATGAAATAAACCAATGGAAAACCAGTACCTTTGCCTTGCAGGATGACGTGCAGCTTTGGCTCTCGCACGTCGCCTTCTGTAAGAAATGGGTACGTACAAAATCATTCTTGTCAATTCACTGATGTAGCAAAGGTGTAAGTGGTCATGGTATCTTTCCTCAGTCCACGCAGGGGCAGCTCAGCAAGGTGTTCTCAGCGATGCTGGCCATCCACCCCGATAAACCAGGTACCCTCTGGCTTCTACCCTTTTAATAATTTTCGGGGAATATGAGCCAAATATCTTGACGCTGTTTTGGCTTGTGTCCTGCTGTTTGCCTCTAGCGCTGTGGATCATGGCAGCCAAGAGCGAGTTGGAAGAGAGGAATTCCTCGGAAAGTGCCCGACATTTGTTCCTCAGGGCTCTGCGCTTCCACCCAGGCAACAGAAAACTCTACCAAGAAGTAGGGAGCAAGAACATATATATGGGCCACTTTCACTCATTTTGACACTGAAAAAAAGCATCCAAGCTAATTCTGCCATGTGTTGCAGTACTTCCGCATGGAGCTGCTACACTGTGAGAAGCTGAGGAAGCAGAAGGCAGAGCTGGAAAAGGCTCACATTGACATTGTGAGTGGGCCATCGTCCCGAAGTTTCTATATTAACAAATTTACTCAGATTAAAAAAGTTGTAAAAATGTAAACACGTTTACAAATGTATATAAAGAATGTGTCAAAGAAAGAAAGAAATCTCGGTTGATATATGGGGTTAAATTGAAAAGATGTAGGAAAAGTAAAGTGCTTTTCAGGTGCACTGTAGAAGATGGATGATAAAGTAAATGACATGCTTCAATTGTTTTTATTGGTGAAAGGCTGGCTACGAGTTCTCTGCAGAGATCCTGAGTGGGAAACTGGCAATGGTTGTGTACAACGATGCCACAGACAAAAACAAAGGTGGGCTTGGCTCTTATTTTAAATTCTGACATTGTTTTACTATACTGTCTGACTGTATTAAGTAACTTTATGTCCCACAGACGCAGAGTTTGTCATCTCACTCCTCAACATTGCATCCATTTTTGACTTCACCAAAGACTTCCAAGAGGCCATCCTCCAGGAGTGAGTCACGACTAAATCTTTTCTGTCCCAAACATCCAAGATGACGCTTACGCAGATCCTCTTGTCCACTTGTTCTCCAGTCTGCAAACCAAATTCCTAGATGACAGCGTGACATGGAACTTCTTGGCCAAGAGGGAGCTGGATGCTCCAGGAGTGGGAGAGGAGCTCCAGACCGTCATGGGCCGCGCTTTGGAAGTTGACCGGAGAGAGGCGCAATGCTGCCAGGTTTACGAAAAAGGACTCGAAAGAATCAACACTGGTAAGAGTCCTCACATACATAAATTATAATTAGAATAAATTATCCCAAGACATGTGGGATGATTGAAAACATTTCGGGTAGATGCTTTTCTGTTCCCAGTGCACCAAGCAACATTCCTAAAGGCATGCTTGGGTGAGTTTGGTGTGAAAAAACTTGACAGAAAGCCCATCAAACATCTTTGGGATGGAGTGGAGGAGAGTGTGGGTCATCTGACCTCCTAGATGTTTTTTTTAAAACAAACAACACTCCCCGCACACTACTAACATTTTGTAGAAAGCCTATAAAGGCCAAATGTCCCAATACTTTTGCTCCTATACGGTATACAGTTGTTAAAAGTGACATGTAATTGTTCACTGACTATTGCGGACCATATTTCCTAATGAGTTGGTCAGGGGTGTTTATTTACACAATTACGGTAAGGTCACTTTATGTTAAAAAAAAAATTAAATTCCTTGAAAGGTAGCTTGAGGATTAGATTTCTATTTTGAGGAAATAAAGGAATTTCATCTTGGAATTTTTGAGGAAAATACAGTGATTGGATTCAAGTTTTGGAGGAAATATGGTAATTTGAGTTCACATATCTGTTGTGATGTTGTTGTTACCTCCTGCAGAACCCATGTGGACCTCCTACATCGCCTTCTGTCTTGAGAGGGTGAAAAGGAAGACAAACGTCCAACAGCTGGTGGACAAGGTAATCCATGGTGGCTCTGCACGTTGTCCCTGTGTGCGAATAAAAGACAAGAAAATGCTTGTGTCAACTTAGCGTGTGTGTATGTGAATGGTTGTTAGTGCGTTGTGATTGACTGTCGACCAGGTGCACTATTTGCCCAAAGTCAGCTGGGCTAGGCTCCTGCTCCCTGAAAATGAAATTGCTTACAGAGACAAGAGAGGCTGCTGGGAGTTCTGCGGCGCGCGCACAACTCCTCACTGCTGAAAGAGGCTTATTACAAGAACTGGGTAAGACAGAAGAACAATTGTGTGAGAGCAGGGGTGGGCAACTCCGGTCCTCGAAGGCCGCTATCCTGCATGCTTTAGATGTTTCCATCCTCCAACAAGCCTGATTCCAATGATCAGCTCATCACCGACCGCTACAGAAGCCTGATCACGTTCCTGATTGTCTGAATCAGTCATGTTGGAGGAGGGCGACATTTAAAACATGCAGAAAAGCAGCCCGATTAGAAATCGGATGGATGGAATAGTGACACTCGGGACTGGATTTGCCCACCGCTTTGTTTAGAGTATCCCGAGACGGATTCTGTCTCTGTCGCGCTGAAGTTTTAACACAATATCCTCGTGCAGCTGCAGATCCTGCTCTCGTCGGGAGATGAAGAGGGCGCAGCCAACATCGCAATAGCAGCCACGCAGCACTACAGCCAATCAGTGTCGTCCTGGAGCATGGCCTTGCAGACGCTGGTTCACTTGGGGAGGGATGACGTCGGACGGCTGTTCAACAAGGCGCTCACAAACATCCATCCCAAGGTACACAACCACACACACACACGCAAACCACACGCCTACAGCGGTGTCTCCTCGCTTAAATTAGCCGCCATTCCATCCTTTCACCTTCCTCTATCATTCCCCTTAGTCCTCATGAAAACAGTAGGCAACATGAAATAACCCTAAAAAAATGAATTCTCAGAAGGAATGAAAATGATTATGAACTATATTAAAACTTGACCACCATGGACATACTCATATAGTCAAGAAAATAATTTCTTCTTTTGCCCGGCTTTTGATTAGACTTGAGCCGTGAGGAGTAACAGCGTGAGGAAGATTATGACACTTGATGCAACTTTAGAAGGCGTGAAACCACCCGGCATCTTGAAATGCCTCCACTGTCAAACTAAACGTAAAACTATGAGAAATACATGCAATGACAATAACCACGTTCGCTTTGAAGTCATAAATAGCAAGCAATAAAGTACTACAATAAACAAAATCAGATTTATTATCCATAATTTGGTTCTAGATAACTGCTACTATAGTGCTTCACATAGCTGACTTTTTAAGCATCTGGTGTGGGCTTGACTTGCCTTGGATGTAGTTTGCCGAGATCGACTCCAGCTCCGCCATGACCCTGAGCATGATGGGCGGAATTTAAAATGAATGGAATTCTCATCATAAATGTGTCTGCATGATTATGAAGAAGCTTCTGCACTGAACGGTGTCCTTTTGGGCTCGCAGGAAAGCTTACCAATTTGGCGGCTGCAGATCCAGTGGAGCACCGCCAACCAGAATCCAGAGGAGACGGAGGCCATTTTCAAGGTCCAAATCAAATCCACCAGACATGGCGATCCACACTGAACAGTCATTAGCGTCCATGCAATGACGATGATGATAATACTTTTGCCGGACACTTTGTTCTTCCCCGCTTGTTCTCAGAGAGGTCTTTCGTCTGCGGTGCCCGCAGTTGCCGTGGAGATGAAAGAGAGCTACGTTGATTGGTCATACGGCAACGGGGGATACAAGAAAGCGAGAAAGACTTTCACAAGGTAAGTTAAGCGAGCTTCGCAATTGTGCAAATTGAAGACTGTAAAGGGCGGAATAACGTGTGTGTGTTTTAGTTTACAGGAGAACCGACCGCTATCCAAAATGTTCTTCACCAAAATGATACAGATTGAAAAAGAACAAGTGAGTGCATTAAATACTGTCATATAATTAAGAAAGTGAGCTATTAAAATAAGGTGGACCCCCCCCCCAAAATCCATCTCATGACTTGTTCATTTCCAAACAATTTTGGCCAGGAAATGATGTAAAATGAATACATTTGTTCAGGGTTTAACTGTCAGCATCATAAAACCTTTAACAACTATAGATGGTATTTTTTTTTAAATGACATGGTAACGTTTCTTAACTATTATACAAGTGTAACAATAACTTCATTGGTGTAGAACAAAACAAAAATAAAGTAAAACCACTCACCCTTTGGAAAGGCCTGATGGAAACATCATGAGGAGGGATGACTTGATATTTCATGAACGAGATTGCTCATGTACTATGGCACAATAACTTTCATTTCTGATTTTTGCCATCACCGTTGCCCTTGTATGCGGACACCACAAAAAGCAAAACGCACTTGTGTCAGTCATTCTTTAGATGGTTCTCAAACCTTTTACACCAAGTACAACCTAAAAAAATGTGGCTCTCCCAAGTTCCACCATCATGACCAACATTAACATCCAGCTGTGAAGTAGGCCTAAATGCTAGGAGGGGAAAAAAAAGAGGCAGAGGTTTTATTTTGAGATTTGAGTTAACATGGTGTCGTTCATGCAGGAGATCCCAAAGATGGACAATCTGAGGGACTACTACGAGAGGGTCCTGCAAGAGTTCGGCTCCTCTGATGAAGGTGAGATGCGTTTGGGTCAAATAGTCCGTCAGGCGCTGTACTGTCAGTCCAACCATTTATTTTCAAGATGTCATTATCACGTTATTTAAAATTGTTATTTAAACAGATAAATAAGAAAACCAGGGGGGTGAGAAGGATGAAAAAAAAAAAAGAATTGGGACATGTGGCTATTAAACAAACAGAAAGTGAAAATGTGAGAAAACAAGGAGTTGGTCCCTGCTATGTTGGCTTCCACACCCTTTGTTTAAACCTATTTAACCTTTTCATGCACAAATAATAATAACCTGTAACCTGATAACATGATAATGTGTCCACTGTAGTAACCGCTGTCCCTGAAAGGACTCATTTATTCAGTGGAGCACAAAACGGCCTTCCCCAAATTGTTCCAACAGAGATGGAAGCATACTTGTTGGAGCCATATTCCAATATTTTTTCTCTTTTTGGAGCCATATTCCAATATTTTTTCTCTTTTTGAACTGAAAGTGTGGAGCATAGCCCGCAAAACAAGGGGCGAAATAGGAAGCTCCAAGTAATGAGGGGCAAGTGTGTGAATCAGCAGAAGCGTCGAGATTTTTGACCGTTTTTACGGGTTGTGTGCTATCTTGTCGAGTATCCTATTTTACTCTGTCAAATCATAGTAATGATGTCCATGAATAGAATTTAATGAATATGCGCATCGTGTCAAATCAATATGCAGTATGCTACTCATTTTGGTTTGTTCATATTGGCCACCAGGGGGCAGTATAAAACAGGCATACAGTACCTGATGTTGATTGAAACAGAAGACAGTCTCAACTAAAGTGCAATGAAATCAGTTGTTTTTCCTCAGAGGATAAAGAATATGTGCCTGTGACCATTGGTGCACGATCTGTCTGCTTGCGGTCAAATACAAGTTGTTTAAAGTATTAGAAGTGCCACAACAGTGATGGTAGTTTCATTAGCCAGTATGGCGTTTTGCCTTGAATGCTAGCATTAAGCAAACTTTTATAAAACAAGTTAATGTGCTTTGATTAAATACACAACTTGTCATTCTATTTGTTTTATGTTTAGTTTGACAGTAAAATTCAACTGTGAGTGGCAATAAGCAGCTTGACGCAAGCACATTGCATCTTTTTGGCAGAATTGTTCATTATAACAAAACTTCTGTTTGTTGTGAAGTTTGCTTTCACCATAGTTGGCACTCGTAACTAACTTGTAACGGGAAGCGCTCATACGCTGAAGTACCACTATAGTTTCTAATTTTGGGTTGATCTGAGTATTCTTTTTCCATGTTGACCTGTGCGATTGTCAAGATCTGTGGCTGGAGTACATCCAGGAGGAGATGGGACCCCTCGGGCGGCCAGAGAATTGCGGCAAGATCCACTGGAGAGCCATGAAGTTTCTGGAGGGCGAAAGCGTAGAGAGGTTCACCTCCAAATACACGCTCCTGCAGACTGGACACCTCTGAGTGCGGTTTGAAGAAGTGCAGGTTGCATGTTCTTTAATCAGCAGGAGTTGTTCAGCCTGCGGGAGCACATGAAGATGTTGGCTGGTTTTCATTGGAGGCATGGATTGTTTGACCAAGTTTTACATCGTCTGGTGTCCAGATTCCAAATGTTCTCCAGAGATGTACAGAGAAATGTTTCCAGTTGTAGTTCCACTTTATATATTTGTGTGACGTTGCAAACCTATGCCGGTGGAATTTCCAATTAAAAAGACACACTAGGATACTGTTGAAATAAAACTGTCAAATTTGTTTTGCAAAGTGTCTTTAAATTCAATGAAGTTAATTCAAGGGGTTGTCATACAAACACATTCTTTTAAATCAAATTCTAATTCTACATAATTAAATCCAGACATGTACGTTGTCGGTCGGGGGAAAAAAATCGGTTGGGCGACAGCTCATACCTCAAAAAGTTAACTCGACGCACCACTGTACGTTTTGTGTATTTGTTCAGATCCCCCGAAGAGTCATTTTAAATCTATTGTCATTAGCAAGTTAGGTGTCCATAACGCTAATAAGACATCGCAGTTCATGTTAAATGGACTATGCATGCTGTTCCCAAAAGAGAGATGATGATAATTATAATCATTTCACCTTGCAACATAATTTGAATCCCCACAGTCTGCTTCACTCTCAAATCTTCTTGACGAAGATGTAAGAGAAGAGCACCAAGATGGCCGCCGAGAGCAGCCCAATGGCACACTGGTGGATGCTGGTAACCTTCTCCAGTGTGTGTATGCGCTCCTCCATGGCGCTAGTGTGGATGTAGTCATAGATGGAGGCCCCGATGCTCCATACCGCCCACACAGCATCCACCAGTGCCTTCATGGTGGGAGAAACCATTGAGGGGGCCGCCTGCAGTCGGGCGCCCGACACAGCCACTGCTCACTGGGTCTTCACCACTGTGATGACACACACAGGACAACACTTAGTGGGTTATGGGCAATAACTTGACACTGTATACAGATTCTGGACGATTACGCTTTAGTGTCTAGGTAATTTGAGTTTTAAAGAAGTGCAGTGCATGTTTACATATCGCAGTATAAAACATGAGAAGTCGAATTGATAAAGCGAGATTTGTTTGCATTATTTTTGCAATCTTGCTCATGGTTTATGGTTACACCGCACTTGTTAAGTAACATTTTGTGAAGCTGTCATAGTGAACACTGAAAAGACTGCTAGTCAAATTGTTTATTTAGTAAGGCAACTAACCGAAGTAGATAAACAGTCTTTCATATTAATTAATGGTTCATTTACATTTATTTTATCATAAAACACCAATGCATTAAAGCAATGCTCATGGAATAGAAAGCCGTAAGGGTTCAGAGGTCAGAAGACTCGGGTCATTTAGTGGAACCCCACATGGTGCATTAGTATTCAGCTGTTATACTGCAAGCAAAAGGAATAAACTACCAAAAGAACTCAAGCTAGTCCCAAGTGAAAATGTTTGCAACTCCAAGGTAAAAACTACAAACCTCCTACACACACCTATGATTAATGTCTTATAGAGCATAGTCAGGCCAAAAATAAATAAAATGTGTGTTCAATCGCTAAGTCGATACTGTTCAGTAAATTCATGAGTACTCATTGGTGGTGATTAGACCATCACAAGTCAAGTTTCCTTGGAAATGTTCACCGCCGTCGCCTTTCATTCTGATGTCATTCGGTTAAACGAGTGAGCTCACTGTAGAACAGCTGATGACCAAGAAGGCTGGCTGACTTTCGGGAGTGTGTCGGCGGAACAAAAAGACCCAAACTCACCAATACGCGACAAATGTGGACGCGGTTGTCGATACGTAGAGGAACATTCGTCCAAAATTGTTCCAGATCGAGCGAATAATGTTTTCTAGTTGATTGAAACGTCGACCGGCTGTTTGTTTCACTCGCTGACACTTTTGACAGGCGACCAATTTCAGTATCAAGCTAGTTTGAGAGCGCGCGGATCACTTCCGGTGGCACGTTTCAATGTAAACTAAGCCATCTTAAAAATACTGTCAATTTAAAAAATAATATATATATGAATAATAATTATATATTCATCCTGAAATTGAAGAGCCGACATAAATGACCACATACATATGTCAATACATCAATTTTTTTTTTAAAATAAACTCAAAACAAAGTTACTCTATTACATCCACTTATACGTTGAACATGGCCTTGTGGATAGAACAGAATGGGGAAACAAGGAAAAGAGTAGACGGGGGAAACAAAAGAGATATAAAGCGTGTGTTTTACTTTTGTACTGAGAGTTGACCAACAGCGTAAACACATCTCGATGTCTGATGTAGAGACTAACCTGTGGGGAGACAGCATGGTGCAACAGGATATCCAGACTGCCGCTAAATACAGTAGAGAAAAAAAGAAAAAAATAGTTGAAGAAATAGAACATTCCTGTTCAAAACTCTTGCCCTTGTCATATTTAATTGTGGTCATGTTTAATTCAAGATATTTTACATCACAATCAGAGGCCATGGCTCGGCTCCACGCAGTGTTGATTACAAACACGTTTTGGGGATTATAAATGTTGAACATGCTAAACATTTGCGATTGTCGGCCCGACTGGTTTCTCGGTTAATCAGGGATGAAAAGCCCACTTAAAAAGATAATTGTTCGGATTAATATTTGAAAGACATCCGACAATTTGGCCATTACTTAATTTGTTTGTAAGGTAGGAAAAATGCTCAAATTTAGTGGTGTCAACTGTCAAGCAACAGGACTTCATGCCATAGCCAGAGTTTTAAAATAAGGTAACTTGGCAGGGTTCAGGTTTCAAGTTAGGGTTTCTACACTTTGGATTTCAATACCTGTCTTACAGATTCAGGTTCAGGATTAATTGGGAGTGACCCTAAAAATTGTGGCAAACCATCACTCGGCCAATTTTTTGCTTTGACTTGAGAGCAAAAATTTAAGATTACTAACGTTTAATTTTTAAATTAAAAACACTTTCTACTGTTCAAACATGTCGAGTCGATGCGTGAACGCAACACGTTGACAGCAAGCAGCACGTGACCACTCCAATACGGTCCAGCCGGTTTGACAGCCGTGCAATGACGCATCTCAGCCACGGGGGGACGCTCCGCGCCGCCACGCCGCTGTCCAGGGGAGGGGAAGGGGGCCAGATGAGCCCGGCCGGGATGAAACCTTTACCACCGCCTTGACAATCACAACGAGGTGGAAGGAACACCTTGGTGAAAGCCGCGCAGCAGCAGAACGCGTGGACATTTCCTCCTCTTGCTGGTTACTTGGGAATAGCGCTGCGACCCCCTCCCCCTCACCAAAGACCTACAACTGGAGAGGAGCCAGTGAAGACGCGCTGAAAATAACCAGGTTACCACTCACTTCCCCGCTTTTTTGGGGCTCCTCCTTTTCCAGCTGTTTGGGAATATCCCGCTCACTCACCGTCTTCACGCCACAAGGGGAGGAGGAGCTTCTTCCGTCTGCCTCAGGCCGGCTTGGCTCTCCCTGACACGGCGCTTTGGCTGGGGTGCGCACCCACCCGGGATCTCTCACTCGCGGTGAGGGCTCTTTCTTTTTTGTAGGACACTGTTGCGTGTGTTTCAGGAGATGATCATGCGCAAGGGGTGGTTGTACTGCTGCTGCTGGCGGTGGTGGTGGTGGTGGTGAGGTGGGATGGTGGGTGGGTGGGGGGACTATCCGAGCTGTTGCACAAGATTTGCCCACCCACCCCTCTTAAAGGATAATGTGGTCGAACGGGGAAGTTTGGACTCTCCTGCAGAGAGCCAGGCCACCAGACATACAGTGGCTGATGCCCCCCCGACACCCCCCAGCCCCATGAGGCTACTGTGGATGCTGCTGCATGGAGGTGACACCAACCTACGAGAGACCAACAGGCAGCATTACCTTCACATGGTATGTATCCATAAACGCGACCTAAACTATGGCTCGGGGTCCAAAAATTAGTTGCAGGTCATTTTTGGGGGATCATAGGAAAATACTGTTTTGGCTATTTGACTAAAAATTGAGCATGCATGCATACATTTTTTTTGTAGGGGATTTTTTTTTAAATACGACTTTTGTATGATGATGATGATGTATTTTAGTATGTTTGGGTTCCAAGATGAAAACATTTGCTAAATAGCTCGCTTTAAGATCATCCAGAGTACTGACTTTATTGTTGCGAGTACAATAATTAGTAAGCAGGACAGTCTTCCCATCGTCTGTGATGGTGATAATGAAGATGGTGTGTGTGTGTGTGTGTGTGTGTGTGT